ATTCATAGTCTATTGTCTTGACTGTCCCTAAGCTAAAACAATTTGCCCAACGTGAATCCTGTGTCAAGTAAATTGTACGAAAACGGTGGACATTGGCTTACCTATAGGTCACCATATTTTACATTAAATATGTTTTGTTACACTAATAGGCCTACTTAAATAATTAGTTAATTAATTACAATCATTGCAAATCACAATACTGTATTACCGTTTGACGTCATTGAGCGTAAAAGTAAGTATAAAGCTACCACGTGATGTCATAGGGCGTTTGTTAAAGTTAAGTGACGCGGAATATACCATATTTCATGACAAAATTTCAATTTAGGCCTTCAGTATTCTTAAGTAGACAAAGATGAATCTATATCTGAGATTTCTAAATCCAGGGTGACCAATATAACAAATTGATCGCTTCTCTAAGTTTTCTTTAAACGAGGATCCTCCGTACATTTTAAAATGAAGTTCTATTGTAAATACTTAGAATGGATGAAATGAAGCGAGAGGGTAAGTGCAATTACAATTTCCACAGCATTGATCGCAGAAGTTGTGGATCGCATCACATGGAGAACTGATCACGTACGTGAAACAAAAGCAGATTCAGAACGCCTAGTTGTGTTCACAGATTGACAAAACTCAAACCATTTTATTATGATTCCCATCGAACAACCAATTACAGACCAAATGACAATGCATTCTAATTTGGTAGGCCTATTAGCTTAAATAATTCGATCACCAATCACAGTGTCTCTGCACTTTAACAATTATTCTCTTATTATATATGTTTTCTTTGATTTATCGATTCCAGGCCATCTTCTGAATGTCTCCCTTGTCGGTGCCTATTCATGTTCATCATATCCAGTTACTTCAGTTATATGAATTATTTAATATAATAGACGAACACAATAGCCTTTAACATCGATTCTGACTCTGTGAATTGTGACTCTTTAGTGGTTCGTGGAAGGCGTGTCTGGGTCGTGGGCTTTATTCAATCTGTGGCCCAGAATTGACATATATAATCACATCGAGAATTTTTGAAATTGTATTATCATTATTAACTATACTAAACCATGATGATATTATTATATAAGTATTCGTTTTATTGTACTAAAGATTATACAAAAAAAGAAAACAAAAAACCAGGATATGCCGGTTGGACAAAAGGAACATATTTAGAAACAGTCAGAAAAGATAGAACATTGAAATATATAAAAAGGAGCAAATTAATAATTTAAGATTGAAGTTTACATTGCAAAATAGCAAAAAAAAATATTTATACAAAATTTATTTATTAAAAACTATACTATTATTTCGAAAACTATTACTATTATGATTTTTATGACATTAGATAGGCCTATCATTAAAAATGGCATTATGTTCAGAATGCAGAGACAAGGCGAAGTCGGAAAAGAAAAAAATATATTGCACACTGTCAGATAGGTTAAGGTAGATTTATCCAGGACTTTTCGTTTTTAGCATGATTAATAACGTACTGAACGAAGAGATAATTGAAAGTTTAGCTCAGGCAGCTAAACTGGTGGAGCCACTGTTTGTGCCCTGAATCGTGGAGATCTCTATGTCCCCAGTTCAATTCCCATCGCTGCCTCCTTGTGTTCTCCTGGAGGGCTGAAATACAAGTTACGATAGTGCACCGTCTTTAAGCCGTTGTTCCCGTGTCCAATATGTCCCCTGCACTTTCAAGAACGCTGTACACTCTTCGGAAAGAGTAGGGGATTGTCTCCTGGTGTACTTTCCAATATTCACCACCAGAAGGACCCCACTTGAAACAAGTCTATGGAATTAGTGGGTGTGATTCACATCGAAATATTCCTATCCTATCCTATCCTAGATACATTGTCTCTGAATTCTGAAAAGTGGATTTTACATTTTTATTTGAAGTACAGCCTCTGGAGCAAACTTCAAGAGCGATTAGTTTTGCATAGGCCTATAAGGTCATCTTTATGAATATGACAATGTTGATGATAACTATAATAAGTTTATTGATGATTTTGATTATTATGATGATGAAATCAATTCAACACGTGTTTCACGATGATGATGATGATGATAATGATGATGATGATAATTATTATAAGAATACGATAATCATGATGACGATGACAATGTTGATGATAATTATAGTGTATATTGATGCTGATAATGATAACGATGATGAAATCAATGAAACAAGTGTTTCACTGTAAACGTTTAGAATGGATGAAATGAGGCGCGACTTTAGACACATAGGCGCATTGACAATTTCCACAACGTTGATCAGAAGTTGTAGATCGCATCACATGGACAACTAAACGCTACAATAACACTTAAAATCTACGTTAAATTCAAAGAGAGTGTCTCTGTTTAGGAATATCAAGCCATTTCATATCGCATTTTCCCTTAAAGATAATAACAAATTAGGCTATAAATTGCCATGACATGGCACTTGATTATTTTCTTATATAACGTGATGGAATACGCGCCGTTCTCGAATAAAGAAAGCGGAAATAAATTTTTCCGTTGTTTTTCCTTTTTTTTTAAATTTTGAGCGCCACCCTTTGATAGATGCCGCGGCTTCTGGGACCTCGAATAGAAGCCCTGGGCTTAACCCTGGGCTTCTTTTCCTTTTTTGCGACCATTGGATGAGCTTCTTTTTTCGAGGTGGGCTTATTTTCGATGTTACTTTTGCTAAGTAAAGAGAGAAGGAGGTGGCTTCTTTTCAAAATGAATGCCGTAATTTTGAGAATTACTATTATAAAGCAATGGGGCCACTGTAACATCAGTCTGTATCATGGAGTGTATTAACCGGCATTAAATCACCAAAACTACTGTATAAACGTGTTTTTAATTTATTTCGTTTCTTTGGAATTCATGTACAGTGTACCGGTATGTACTGTACTCTCAGGATCACGAAAGGAAGCCAATGGGCTTCTTTTTTAGGTTACCTTTGCAAGCTAAAGAGGAGGCACAAATTCGAGATGGGCTTCTACTCGAAATTAAGCCCATTAGGCTTCTATTCAAGATTTTACGGTACAGTATGTTGCGAACGCGGTGCGCGTGCTTTTATTACCGGGACAATAATCAATAAAAACGATCTCTCGTAAAACTAATATTATTGCTACTACTATGCCTAGTGTAGTGGTGAGGATGTTGGTGATTATCATGATGATGGTTTTAGTGCTGATGTTGTTGCAGATGTTGATCTAACCATTAGAAAATACAATGCGATCGATTGCTAGTATAATCTTGTCTTGTCTTAGAAATTCGTTTAATTTCCTTAACTAATGATGTTAATGTTAATAGTTGACGAACTTGTTTCTATTAACTATTTAAAAGATATGACTTTTACAATTCCCGGTTCAAATTACAATAGGCTTATCAACTACTGGCAAAGTACGTGTAACTTTGATTAGAAAATGAATAGTAGGGTATCAGAAATCATTTTTTAAATATACACTCATGATGTTCATAGTTGACGAGCTTGTTTCCACAATGTACATTGTTTCCACAATGTACATTATAATGATTACCTATACCAAAGATATGATTTTTAAAATTCCTGGTTCAAATTACAATATCAACTATCGGCAAAGTACAGTTTCATTAGAAAATGAGTAGTATTGGTATCAGTTAATTCATTTTGATTTTATATATACTCAGAGTTAATTATACCCACAAATATTTAAACTCATCTATCAACACGTTATCAACACGTCACAATAACGTGTTGATAAACTCATTTATTAACACGATTGAGGCAAAAACAAACCTTGTGGCTCAAGCTACCTAAATATTAATGACCGGTTATTTTATGCAAAAGTAAATTATCAAAGAAGAATATGTTTCAAAGGGTTACTTTTCAAGTTTTAGAAAGTGTAATACCTCAGGGGCGGATTTAGTGGGGGTGCCCCCCACCCCACCATTTTTGGAAAGTGAAAAAAAAATGAAAGAAAGAAAAAAAAAATTATCGCCCAAAAACGCCTCAGAGGTTATTTTCGGGGGCCTAGAAAACAAAAATGTCGCGGGGGCATGCCCCCGGACCCCCTAGGGTGGTATTATGCCGATCTGCCCCACTTTGGGCCCCCCTTTTGATAACTTCGACACTTGAATTCAAAATTTGAAGAATATTGGCCGATTCGTGCGTTTAGGCTATTCCAGCTCGACGACAATGATGTCGATTATGATGATGGTGGTAGTTTTGATTATGATTAGATGAAAAAGGAGGAGGATGAGGATGATTCTAATGGAGATAATGGTAAGGACGATGATGGTGGTGATGTTGATGATGATATTAATATTGATGACGACGATGACGATGATGATGATGATGAAAGTGATAATGATAAGAGGACGATGGATGTTGGTAGTGAGGTTGAATAATGGTGATGACGATAATGATAATGATGGTTATTGTAATATGATGAAGATTATGATGGCTGTGGTTAATATGATGATGCTTATTGATGAGTATGATAATATATGATTATTAATATTGTTGTCTTTGTTATTATAAGTATTGTTATTCTTATTTTATATTGTTGTTAACGTTATTGATGTGTTTTATTATTGTTATTGTATTATAGCTATTGCGATTGTTATTGCTACTGAGTGTTACTTTTATTGTTATTACTATTTATATTGCTATATCAGTAGCTATTTCTATTGTTATTGATATTTTTTATTGTTATTGTTATCTTTTATTGTTATTTCTATTCTATACATCATATAGAAGATAAGCATCCACAGCTACACCATTTGAAATAATAATAATTATTCTTATTATACAATTCGAGATTAATATAAATGTGCTTTTGAAAAAAGAAAAGAAAGTTTATTTGTCAATATTTCTGTTATGCAAAAACAAATGTACGTGTTATTTCACATTGTTTACCAACACAGGTACTATAATTGAAAGTTTTAAAAATGTAATATTTGCTTTTGCTTGATAGGCCTATATATTTGATAGAAATGTGTGATTAGTGTAAAAAGAAAATACGGTGAATAATTACTTTGAAATTCCCAAAGTGGCTATTAATGATGAAGATTCTGTAATTACAAAATATATAGGCGTAACGAAGTGATGGGCACACAAAACCAGGATTCGTGGCTATATTTGAAACTGAAAAAAAAAAAACAGAAACTAAGAGCGTTTCCGCGCAATTGCTTTGTTGAGTGCGCTCTGACCCGCGGCATTTTGCTTCTTTAAAATTAACAGTTTCGAAAATGATCTACTAAAATTAAAGGTTCAACTACCTACACTAAATAAGCAAATGCTATTCAACAGACAGTGCGCACGAGATTAAATTTAAAATCATTAAACAATAACTATAATTTTAAAAAATTATCAATATCCAACAACTTACCGTCAATACGGTACCTTTTACTTTAGAGTTACAAATCTTGTTATGAAAATGCTGAGGGCCGACGTAAAGCAATCTCTCCTATTCTGGCGATTATATCATTATCCGGGATGAGATGATGATAATAGTAATAGTAATAACAAAACTTATAATTTCAAATACAAACAAGTTTATGGCTGTTCAATGTTGAGCTAATGAAGAGCATGTAGATAAGTGACTGGCATGTTATATTTAAAATTTAGGATGCGTTAAGATGGTCAGTGGGGCGTGACGATAACCCAATGACCATACCAACTTTCGTGAAACGCCACCAAGCCTAAAATTTAATTTATGGCAAGCACTGATCAGTGCTTTTAATAATCAACCCGTATCTTTATTTGTATTACCGTTTATTGAAGTAGTGTAGTATAAGTACGTTCAGTCGGTTTCTGATTCCCTTGGCATTATAAAAATTAATCAAACTCTGGCCACATTTATTGTTAATAACGTGCGTCTAATTTCGACAGCATGCAGGTTATATGATAGGAAGAGCAGTTTTAATAGAACATAAGTGACTGGAATGGCATACGATCCAAGGGTTTCAACTGAACCGAATTGCATTGACAACAATGTTTTTGTCATCTTGTTTAGTGATTCCATCCACCATCCCATGAGCCGCTACTAAAATACCACTGATCCTGTTGGCGGTAGGCCTACTTGCTAATAATGAATTGGATGCGTAAAGAACAATGTAGATACAGGGGTGGCGCCGGGGGCCGGGGGACCAGGGCCCTCAGTCGGGGAGAGCAGCTGTCCCTGCCAAGGAGTAAAACCACAATTCGTTAGGGAGAAAAAAAAAAGTAGGCCTATATGTATTTCCTACATATTAGTAGACTCCAAAATCAATTAAATAAGCCTTTGAAACCCCTAAATTCTCATATTTTCGGGGCTTCGCCCCCTGGAACCCTTTCGGGAAATTTTGAGCGACGCCCGACCACGCCCACTTTTCTTTCTTAGGGGAAGTTCCCCTACGAAACTCCTACCACTGTGTAGATACTGTACGAACATAGGCAGTTTCAGGAATATGCACCGAAAATAATTAACGTAATACCATTTTACGGTACAGCACTGTGGAAAATAATACCATTGTTATCCTTTCTGTAGACAAGCCTACCTATCGACCAACTATGTCGACAAGTTCCGCAAACAATATATGATAAAGCCGCCTTAAACATCCTTTATTTTCCCTTTGAATAATAACGGACGTGAGCAAATACTAACATCCCGAGGTTTGTTTAGAGGTGTTTGCAGGTTCAACGGAAATGAATACAAACTAAAGGACCACATTCGACGTAATGTTAGTTTGTGCTATACCTATACAGCCTAGGCGGACATAATGTGAAACATTATGTCCGTATGAACTCAGGCGGACATAATGTGAAACGTCTTGTATAGGAAAATAATACCGTGATAATAATTAAATATGATATAGGCTTAATATAACAAGACAAGTATAATGTATATATAGGCCTACATCTTATTCTACACATACACTACTGTATTACAATTCAGTTCGTATTATATAGCTGTATATAGCCTATAAGTCAACTTTTTGAAAGTTTACCATATTAATCAAAGTGATTCCCAATCCTCTTATTTGCGAATTTATCTCGTAACAGCATCTACTTTGTTCAAATTAAGTATCTATTCATCATACTTTACTGTAATATGTAACCATGGTAGCTGTTGTGGATCATAATTGGAATAAGCGGCAATAGTTCTTGACATAATAATACCAGGGAACAGTTCCCTGATAACACAGCTCTTACCGGTATATTATAAAAATAAGCATTGTATGACCATCTGTGAGTCCAGCTTAAAGTAAGTACATTATAAATGAGTAGTAACCAAAATGTTTATTCCGACTTACCATTCCTTTATGTTTTAATAGAATCCATCCACGTACGCCTTACAACATGGTGAAGTTCATAAAACACACATACATAGGGCTGCACTAAAAAAAAAAAAATGAATTGGGATGGCGCTGTTTAAATTTGAAGGGTATTTTTTTTTCCAATGGAAACTCATTAACAACACCCAGCATATGATTTCCTCGTAATTATTTAAGCTACAATCTTCATAATATAGGCCTAGCTGCAATATCTGGCCAAAGTTGAAAAGCAAGGCCTACCCTTTTCTACTGATAAAAGGAATCATGATATTCAAAGTTCCAATACGATAATGTTACCGTATCCAGACCTAGACAAATTAAGCACATCGCCCTAGACATTATTTAAATGGATTATCTAAAGTCTTTAATTTATTAATACATTTATAATTTAAGATAATTTAGGCTCTATGGGAGTATCCCAGATTAAAGAACATAATCATGTTTAATGTTGTTTGCATTGGATCACCATGCAAACTACTCGGACGATGGTGACTTTTGATAATTTGATTTTTATAAATTTTGTAATTTTTCATATATTTTAGTGACAATATACTTTATGTATCAAAAAATATGATGAAAAGGAAAATGCCGGTAATTCATTTTGATATGCTTGTTTCGATAATGATTGTAAGCCGTGCGCCCCTCAAATTTAAGCTTAATTTCGAGTAAAATAACAGTCACTCATTACCAAAAAAGCAAAATGAAAGAAAACAAGATAATAAGGGGCAATTCACTACACAGTACCAAGTGGCCTGGTTACTTTACGAGATGAGTGATTTTAACGAAGCCATCTACTGTTAGCAATATGCAATAAAAGAAAATTGACCTGAACATGGGGAAAAAGTCAATGAGAATTATCTTTATTATGTCGTTTAGTTAGCAAGTAAATTTGATTACTGCAGTTAATACCAGCAGTTTACATAATTGGAAGGATGGGTAAAATGGCGTTTTTAAAGCAGTTGCATTTCTATTCATTATATAGGGCCTAACGTACGTTAAAATGTTCTACACAAGATTGAAAAATATTGCCGCAACTAAACTTGGACCCGAGCCATCCCTGTTGTATGGAGAAGCCTTAACAAACTGTTGGGGCATGTCAGAATTTAAATCTGATTAGAAGCAATTGATTTAACGAGATTGAAAATCCTCCTTTAGTCGGGAATCTAATCAGAGTAGGTCAAACACCTTAACAATAAGCCGATGTTGTTTCATTTAGGATTATAAATCAGATTGTACGCAACTGATTCACTTAACTTCGTATATGCATTGCCTAAAGCAAGTTCAAGATTGATGAACTAATTATAACAGAGATAAATAAAACATTATTTAGTCAGAAATACAATCAACTTTAAATTAATATAAGCTATCAGGGGCGGATTTAGGGGGGGGGGGAGCCCGGCCCCGGTCCCCCCTTTTGGGAGGTAAAAAAAAGAAAAAAAGAAGAAAAAAAGAGAGAAAAGGAAAAAAATGATAGCCCAGAATGCCTCAATGTTATTTTGGGGCGTCTAGAACACAAAAATTTCGCGGGGGCATGCCCCCGGAACCCATAGGACATTGTTGTCTCAATCGGCCCAACTTTCGCCCCCCCCCCCTTTTGGACATTTCTGGATCCGCCCCTGCACTGTAGGCCTACCCTGGTTTCCACAACCTGTCAATAAATTCTGCTGGTTTACACAAGATGAATTTAGTGAACCTTACCTTGATGTGTTCAAAGTCTGTGATACCAATTTTTGGCAAGTTCGATGCATCCATGAGGATCAACTTCCGTCCATTAATCAAATTTGTCTCAAAACAAGCCTGTGATTGTGGTAAAAGAAAACATAATACATGAAGCTGTTATTAGGCCTAGTTTACTGTATGATGGGTCTATTTTTTCATCCCCTTAGGAGTCCATAAATGGGGGTGATGATGGGGATGCGTAGGTGAAATGGGGGCTCAATTATTAAGTGAGGGGATTCTAGTTTGCAAAATAAGGTGGTGTGAAGTGATTTTTAACTACGTGAGCATGATTTTTTTCCCCTCAAACATTTTCAATGGTAGAGCGACTAGCGGAGGAGTGAGGTTTCTCATACCCCTCCCCGCATACCCCTAGATATGCCACTGAGCGTAGCAGTTAGAATTTCAGTCATGACAGGCCCATGGAGGTACCATAGCAATTTCCTGTTCAGCCACATAACTGCCTGTGCATCAAAAAGCAAATAATACAGAATAATTCAACACAAGTTAGAAACTTCCCCCAGACTCTGTCTCTGCCTCAGTTGGACGAACTAGTGAAGGGAGCGTTGCCACTATATTTTCATCTTCCATCTTTAAACTTCACAAGCGAGCACGGCGTCCTAGATTTAGGACGACGGGAAAAACGAGGTGAACACGTTCTCGATTTTGGTAGAGGGAGACGACGTAACGCATGCGCAGTGCTTTAAAATGACCTCATCACGTAGCAGTCCACTATGTCGACGTGCAAATCTAAAAGTTCCTAATTTCTCCTGTGTGTAGCATCAAATGTGTTTTCAAACTGTTACTTCTACTAAATTTTTTCCAGAAAGTCGGGCACTCACTACGCACGACGGTCCACAGCCGACGCGATTCTGGACAATGCAATGCCACGAGGCACACACCGTTCAGACTGCCCGGTGACTATCTAGTGCTCACAGGCAGCCAAGTTGGAGAGTTTCGCTATTCTCCATGCTTTAAGCCGGTTTTCCACTAGGCGAATTTATTCGTGCGAATCGAAAGCGTCGGTTCATGCGCATGCGCATTCACATTCCTTTCGGAGTTTTTGCGAAGCGAAAAAATGCGCAACCAATCAAAGCTCTGGAAGCGAACCGACGCTTTGATTCGCGCGAAAAAATTCGCCTAGTGGAAAACCAGCTTTACACAGCCATACAATTAATGATTTAACCAGCCCAAATATAGTACTTAAAATTTAATTTATAGCAAAATACCCAGTAACTCAACATAACACGATATCAATTTTATATATTTTTAATCAAAACTATACAACAAAAGAAACACATGTTGAATTCGAACGTTTTAAAATATGTATAAACTAAAAAAAGCAGGGGATTACACCTGCAAACATTATGCCTTTAAATGTTACACCTGTAGGATTTACACCTGTAAACATTACACTTTTAAATTTAATATCTGTAAATGTTACAACTGTAACAGTTGCAACTGTATTTACATTGTGAATGTTACAACTGTAGGTTACACTATGTAAATACAACTGTAAAATTTTTAATTGTAAATTGATTTATGGAAACTATTCCATCTCAAATTAAAACTACAATGGACATATCTGGAGTGTCAATCAATTTACCAATTAAAACTCAGCAATGAGTAAAGGGTCAGGATATACGAATTGCCCCGCAAAGACACATGTTGTCTCACATTTACTCTTTCATTTTGTAGGACCTAGCAACAATAAGGAACGGGAGTCTGGGACTTAAGCGGAATGGTCCAGTACAATGAAAGACCAAACATAGATTCCTCAATAAAGTTATACATACTACTTATATTCAACATAAAATCAATTAAAAAATATACCAATTCACACAGGTTAACATATTAATGGGACACATGCTAATGTTACAATGACTTTCCGAGATATTGGTTTTTTTTTAAATATTAGCTGCGGTCTGTCAGCATTTTTAAAGGTTTTTGCTAAGTACCTGAGGAGTGATGCAGGCGTCTGCGATGTCTGTTTTTCTTACCTAGACATTACACTGTTAAATCTAAAGCCTCATTCAGACAGAGATATATTACCGCAATATTGCAGGAATAACCCCGGCATTGACTTCTCTATGAAAAGTTCAGCAACAACCATAACCGCAATATTGGCGTTGCGAGTCGTTCCGTCTCAGAACAAGTAATATTACCACAATATTCCTGCTACGGTGAGTTCCGACGTGTCTGAAATGAAAGCCGGTCTCATTCCCACAATATTACTTTATTCAGTCCTATTAAAGATGTCAAATAGAACAGAACATTCTTTATACAAAATCGTCATTACCAATGGCATGCCAGCATACATAATCCATTCAAACAGAATTGTGTTATGTTACAGCAATATTTGGTTGGTGGTATGAAGGAGGCATGTTTGTTAGCATTCCAGCTTAGTTGCCAGAATATTGGCAGCCTCATCTGTCTGAAAGCAACTTTACACAGGTAGGCAATCACATGGATGCAATTTAGATTGAGTGATAAGATTGCCTTAGCAGATGTTTTACCTTCCCTCCAGTGTGAACCGGTACCTGAACATTAAACCATATGCAATATTATTTAAACAGAACAGTAATTGGATTCACAGGTTCTGAGTTATCATGATGTAAGTATAAAAAAGTAAAATTAAAATTTTGATTATTATCTCAGTACATTAAAATGATTAGTATTGTTGACAACTCCAGGGATCTGTAAAAATTCATACTGTATAAAATTTAGTCAAAAAAATACAAAATGTACACTATAAACAATTATGACAAAATTATTATATCTAAAATTTACCCAAGATGAACAATATAAACTCATAAATAAAACATAACACAAAAGAATGTTCCCATGTGTCGTAAATAAGGACCTTGGAAGAACGAAAAGGACGAAAAGGGGACGGTAAATGAATGCCGCAAAAATCATGGTAATGTAGTTATTTAGCTTGATATTGCTCTATCCTCCATATTGGATGCTGTTAACAATGGCCGTATTTGACTGGTTCATTTTGTTGATGATATTTCGTTGAGTATTATTTTGATTCGATTGGTTTGTAAAATAGACTTCATTGACAATGGAAATTAATGTAAACAGAGTGCATAAATTTGCAATAGTTATCCACGTAACCAAAACTAACATGGCCAACTGGTCAGTTTAGCAACAACATTTGCATTGATATAATTTACATTGATTTTAGAAAATAATAATTATAATATTTACCCAAATAAAGTGAAAAAATAATTGTAGGCTAACAGAATTCAAAAACTGCATGAATTTTTTTTTTTACGAAAAAAAAACCCCATACTACCACAAGCTGAAGCAGCCTTGATTATGCTAGCGTGTATCGCGACAACTATGCAGCCATTTTGTTTTGTCGAGTATTTACCAGTTTTCCATTTGTCTTGTTGTCTTTGTTAAGTAAGATTTTACAAGTGAGCAGGTAGACGAGGTTTAACAAAGAAAGACCAGTCGAATACGGCCAATTAACATTTCCGAAAGTGTCAACCAAAGTTAACAACTGACCAATCGGAAGTGGGCCAGGAATGCCCACAAACGCATGTCATTTTGTAGCACCTTAGCAACAATAATGAAGTCACATATAAATTCCTGTTGTGGTTATAAATACTAAAACACATTATTTTTGCTTATATGTTAACACCTCAATACCAGGTCACACTTACATAAAATTACAGTATTTCTCACTGCCAAGGCGAATATTAGCGCATACCACATACTAATATAATCTGTATTATTTAATACTGGTAAAAATGAGGAAAAGAATTTAATCTTTGAAATATGTATTGCAATCAATACTAATAATGCGTCAAATATTTGCTGTACTAAAATTTGGTTTTTGTTAAATGCTGATGCATTATAACTATTAAAGATACGCCCTCTGCGGTCAAAGTTATTAACGTTCAATTAGAATAAAACAATTCATTTTGTGCTGATTCAGGGTCTATGAAAAAGAATTATAGGAAAGCTTTTATTTAAACACTTCTTAATTAGCAAAGGAACCTTTTTGTCATTCTAATTTTCAATTGAAAACTCACTTAAATATACAAGTAAGCAATTAAAAAAGAAAGAATTATATCTTCTCTGAGTTGTTTAGCTCATATCACAGAAGGTACTGTATAGCTTTAAATACCTTTCCAATTATTGATTTACAACACATGCATAAAAGGAAGCTGTCTTCTGGTTTTGGTCTGAATGTAGCTGGAACTGCTGGAGGTGCAAGCTTGCACAGGATCATGTACAGGCATGTTGTACCTGCGTTGGAGATGCTTCAGGTCAAGACAATAGCCATGTAGTGAACTGGATCAATAAGTTTGGTTAATGACCGATCTAGTAATGAGGGAGCACAAAGATTAAAGTGGTTAGAATAACAATAATAATCAGCAAACAAGATAAAACTATTCGAATAATTATTTTATGTATGTTCTCATTTTAAATTTATAATTGTTTTAAATTTATTTGTACAATAGAACCCATCCTTAGGAACACCCCTTTTGAGGAATATTACATGGAAAACATCCATAGGGGGCCCACTTCAAGTAAAGCTCAGTCACGACACTCCTGCATACGTACATCCCTTAAGCAGTAATGCACCAGAATATTGGCTGCAAAATAAAGGAAATCTTTAATCTACTGGTAGGCAAAATGCAGCCCACAGGCCCCCTGTAGTCTGACAACAGTTTGTTTACGCTCACGAAAATAAATTCAAAACATTATGTGTGCGGCCATCAAATTATGTTATTTTTAATAAATCTTAGTTAATTTCAAAATTTCTTTTAGAAAAGTTTAACCCTCCCCCAAATACAATGACACATGTGAACAGTTCAATTTCAAGTTAGGTACCTAAAACTAAGTATAAATGAAAAGAATAGATTACTTTTAAATACAGCCTCATTTGTGAGCACATGTACTCCCTTTGCGTGGCTCTGAGGGATAGACCACTGACGTTGGATGCGCTGGCACAAAGCTCGTCCAGGATTCCAGGTTTTCCTGAAAGTCAATCATGTTTATATTAATAACAATTTTAATGTGTTAATAACAGGTAATAATGAGGCAGCACTCTGAGACAACATTAAAGATGTAATCTATTTAAAATGAGCTTAACATAATATAGTACTTTATCAGGCCCGTAGCCAGGGGTGGGGCGGTTTATGGTTCGGGAGAACCTCTTTTCTAGCAAATCCCCCTTTTTTAGCAAACCCCCCTCCCATTATTACATAACTAATCATTCCATAAAAAAGTTGATTTCTAAGGTATAGATCACTATGTATTATTGTTATTACACACTTTCTGTGAAACGAGTAGATTATTGTATGTAACTTGATTGTTGTCTGGTTTTTTTCTAATGTCTAACCATCAATATTTTATTTTTTTAACAAAAAATTCATCAGTGACTGATTCTTAGAGAAAAGGTAAAACTATATTGCCAACATTGTCTGTGTAAGACTTCTTCATTTTAACTTATATTATTAATACATTCTCTATTCTTAGACATCAACGAATCTGAAAAATACAGTAGTAAAGTAAATTTAATATCCACTTTTGATGAGTCTAAAGCATTTGAAATATTATATTTCATCAATGTCAATATCAACATTAATTAATAATAATGTATAATGTAATTTTAAGAGCCTATATAAATATTTTCTGTGTAAAATGATTATTTTCTGACCCTGACTTTAACAAATATGCTTTATGAAATATTAATATTTTTAATCTAACATTCACTATTAATGGACATCATAGACATTAACAACTAAATTTAATAATCTTATCATTATCATCTAATTTGAGTACGGCAGAACTGTTTGTTACAATGCGCCTGCACAAATCTAAAAAGTACATATCATATTCTGAGCTTGACTTTGACAAATATTCTTTACGAAATATTAATATTTTTAATTTAACATTCACTTTTAATAGACATCATTAAATTTAAACTAAATTTAATATTCTTATTATGAAGCATACAAAGTTGTTAAATCATATTACTAGACTTTATGAATAATTATCATCATCTAACTTGAGTAAGGCCAATGCGCCTGCACAAATCCACGAAGTATATACCGTATTTCTATCCTTTTAGGTCCTTATTATTAAAAGCAATTTTTGTGCTACTATTTATCTCAACTTAATAGCATTAAATAATAATATTTGCGAGAGAATGGAAATTCTTGCTTGTTAGGAAATGTGAAAGGCCGTCCAGATTTCCGGGACACTCTAGCGACTTCCGGGAGACTTGGAACCCGATTATACAGAGAGAGACAATCTCCTTCTCATTTCCAAAGAGTGTACTGCATTCGTTAACATGCACATGGGCCATAGGGCACAAAAGACTGATCCAAAAGACGGTGCGCTAATTGTTACTTGCATTTCAGCCCACTAGCTGAAATACAAAGAGGGGCAGGGGGAATTGAACGGGGAACTCACACACACTAGCTACCACCAGTTTAGCCGACTGAGTTAAGCTGCTCATTTCATAGCATTTCATATCATGTCGTATCATTTAATATTATTTCATAACATTTCATTTCATATATCATTTCATATCATGTCTCCATAATATGGCGTCATGAATTATTAAATAATCTTATTTTTGTTGGTTACGCTCCACTGACTTGGGTTGTTTTTCATCAATTCAAGATGTCTACCGATTCGTGGAAAAGGCGTATTATGAGGGGTGGCGCTAGGATTTGCCCGACGCGGGGATCCGAGATATCTCCGACAAGAGCACAGTGCGCATAGTCGTGCATCGTCTAAAATCGTTTGAAATTGGTCTTGGTGGCGAAGCCCCAAAAATGCTGGATGAGTTAAAAGTAGTAAAAAAAAGTCAAGCAGTAGACACGCACGTTTTCACATTTGAAGTTAAACTGATTTTTACACCATGGCTGATTTTTTATTTTACATTTGTGGTTATTTTTGCATTTGTGGTTGACATGTTGACATTTGTGTCTACAGTTAAACTTGCCTAAGTCGACTGTGCCTAAGTCAAATAATTTCTAAGTCAATCTTACATTACATGCCAAATTGTTGTGTTTTCCATTAACTAACAATCTGTAAGTCAAATTTTATCTAAGTCGTACAATATTTCAATGGCATTTTGGATTCGACTTAGGTGAGTTCAACTGTATTTTGAGATTTTTTTACATTTGTGGTGGACTTTTACATTTGTGGGATCTACAGGGAAATAATGTTTATTCCACTTGTTTTGGATGGGAGGGTGTTAAGTGAGACCCTGCCTAAATCTGACAATTTTAGTATGTACTCTACCAAATTGGTCTTTACACTTACTTAAGTTTAGCTTGGTCAAATTCTTGAAGATCCTCGATGTCGATTGTTTTACATCGCCCAGTCCGTAAATTCCAAGCAAACTTAAATCCAGTCTGGTACAGGCATGGAAATTCACTACAAAGAAAATCGTAAGAGAAAATAAATGTCTAGGTACCACAAGGAATTGTTAGTGTTCATTGTATTCATTCAATAAAATGTTGAAAACACAAAACTGATGAAACTGAAAACATATCAAATGCAAGAATACTGAAGCTGTGTCTTTGTAATACATTCCCATCTTTTTCAACATATTTACCAGAAAATAATCAGATCAGCTGCATAGAATAGGAGATGGTTGGTTTCTATTGAATAAAGCCAATCAAGGATAACCACGGAAATCAAAAATCAATTTCCCGACAGTCCGTCTGGTGATGAATTGGGCCAGGCCCAGGAGGAAATCGTCATAAGCATTTCTGAGGAGCATACTCTTAAGTAACGTCAATTGCACACATAAATTATTTGAAAGATGGTGCACTCTGTAGTAGATTTGCATTCTAGCTTTAAGTTAAGACACAATGTTATACTTTATATTATTATGTACTAAAAAAATTAATTTATATAAAATAAAATATACAAAGTAGTTTCCTACCTGAAAGGTTCATCAACAAATTCAAATACATTCTGGGGTTGCTTAGGAACCGGTCTTGCTCTTATCAATGCCATAATCATCACCAGTACACTGCAGGAGTCAGGACAAACCTAACAAAAATAAAACACAATACTCTAATAATACTTTACTGTATATGGATTTATCACAGCACATTATATGACCAATAAAGTCATGGTAGCAATTACATTTTATTTCATAAATCCTTTTTGATATTTTAATATACAAAAAGAAGCTTTAGAATTGATTTTAGTGCAATTTTTTATATTGAGCTCAAATGTTAGAAACTCTTGTTACCCTACCAGAGCAGCTGCGTACATTTAAACAAAAAAATACTCAAGCTACGTTCAGACTTGGAGATAAGCCAGGCTTGATTTAAGCCCGGCTCAATGCTAAGCCCAGCTTAACTTTGGCAGGCATTCAGACTAACGGGATTAGCCGAGCGAGAATTTGCATAATAATGAACCGTAACCAGGAAACGTGTTTCAAAACATTGCTCTCGAAACGTACGCTTGCTCACGGCGTACTTAATTGAATGCTGATTAGTATTTTTGTCACCCGAAGTCAATGCAAGACCACCCGCAACGATTGAAGCCCGGCTTAGTAAAGTTAAACACGGTGGTGCGCCAGGCCTAGTTACTATAGGAACACAGCCCAGCTTGAGATAAGCCACTAGTTCAGACTGGCAAGTGGATAAACCCGGTGAGTTGAGCTGGGTTTATTCACCTTGTCTGAACTAGGCCTTTATCTTCCCCTAATGCACAGACATATTCACATCTGTGAAACTTACATCCAAAATTTGCATATCGTAGTCAGTAAATGCTATGAAGCGATGACCCCAGGTCGCATGCATTCTAATGGCATCACAGATGTAGTGCTCAGCATCCATTGTAAGTTGTTTGACATCAATACAGGCTCCCTACAAAATGCAATCAACAATCATTACCTGTGTATTTGGCATACAAAGTTAACTGTTTAACTATTTACTAGCTACTACTATTCTATTTTTTTATGGTAGCTGACAGTTTTATTGTAGAGATATAGGCCTACTCAATAATATTTGGATGTTTGTTTTGTAACAGTAGTACACAACACCCAAGCTTTTGATTATTCATTTGACAATAGCCTTCTAAATAGTAAAACACAAAGGAGCAGTGAAGGAATAAAGCCAGTCACTGACGGAAACACATGGTCAGGGCATGCCCACCACTAAGTACCCAAATGAGTTTGCTCTTTATACTATTACAAGGCAATACAGCTTTTTTGGTGTTTAATTTTTATAAGAGAATAGAAGACAAAGCAAGGCCCTGCAAAGAATGGGCTGATCTTCTATGCCCTAAACAAAGCCAGGGGCTGTAGCCAACTTGCATTCAAGGCTGAAACATAGCGTAAACCATTTTTTACAGCCCGTCCACAATGCAAGCTGAGGTACTGTATAGCCGAAAGAGGACATTGCGAGGCTCGGACTCCCAACCACGCAGCATCCGCTGTGCCAACTGCCTCCCTTAACAAAGTTAGTGATAGAATACAACCAGTCACCCATGCAAACCCATAGTTCAATACACACCCACTGGCTACCTACCACCCACTAAGTACCGCAATGAGCTTTGCTCTGTACATTAGTCAGTTACTGAGAAATGAAATATGAATTAAAACTACTTTTCAACTGACCTCACTCCTAGCTGTTCTGTTGGTAAGAATCATCGGTGCTTGTCGGTCACCTAGTACACTCAGAGGTAGCATACTGTGGTAATCATAAGCTATTTTAATGAAAAAAAAAAATTATTATTCAAATTGTAAAAAAACTCCACATGAAAGTTTTTAACTTTACACAAAGAAACACTACTATGTATTAGTATTCTAAAAACTGTAAATGATAATGCCTTTAATTACTGTATTGGAGTTCATTCATGACACTTTCAATGATACAGGGATAACACATCATGGTGTTAAGTACAGTAACTACAGGTTAAGGTAAGTCATAATAGCAGGGCCGGTGGAACGTTTTTCAAAGTTGGGGGTGGGGGGGCACTTGTAACATGAATGGGGATATGAATTGCAAGAGAGCCGATCATACAAAAGTCTGCATAGACATTATAATATTTTCTGCCAAAAAGTTGGGGGCCCGGGTCCCCCGGCTCTGCCGGCCATGGATAGTTCCATACAAATATGGTCTCCTACAGTACCTTCAAGATCTAATGGCCCAAGAAGTTCTTCGCCAGGTGTTCTCTCAACAAATCGTCTGACTGAGTATGTGAATCCCTGTAGTTGACATGTGCATTCACGTATTGTCATCTGGCTGGATGGAATTGTCTCTACCATGTTATGAACAGGACATTGATGACGTATCTCTGACCCGATACTCAAGTTATAATCTCCAAGTAAAGGCTGATGGAGGTTACTTGGCAACCGTACATCCTCGTGGAAAAATGCATTCGTTTGGTTTGAGGTCTTTGTATACATAGCACTGCTAGCGAGAGGTAATTTATCATCCTCGTATTTTTCATTGTAGTTTTGCGATTCTGAATGAAATTTGTCCTTTGATTTATTTAAATCACATTGGTTATTTAGACCATCACATAAACATGTGTCTATAGACTTAGCAGTGGATAAAACAGGCTTAAGTTTTAACATCTTCGGTTCAGTTTCCTTGCTTGGACACTTATTTATATGTTGGTACGGGTGATTATAGCAGATTGGAGGTGTTCGCTCACGATAAAATTCATCTGGCGTATTACAAGCTTTGTCTAAACGTGCTTTTGAAAAGTCAACTTTGTTGAAAACTTTGCATGTACGATGAACATCTGAGCTATTTGAAGGAGGAATATCTAACGGGACATGGCTGGCGCAGGTCTCTTCAGCAGGATGGGAATGAGCACAAGTATTACGTGGACTACCCTCGTCCTCTAAATTATCTATCCACGCAAAATGGCTATCTTCTTGTAAGGAATTTCCATCATCAGTTTGAGAAGAGTCCAAAGAAGTACTTTCTTCTAAAGGATTTGTTGAACAATGGCAGACTGTAATTGGACATCGAAGACCACTGAAACATAGCTTTGAACATTTTGCAGATATCCGAGTTCGTTTGACATCTTCTTGGTGTTTATAACTACAGTCATCTAAAGATACTGCATCATACTTAAATTCTATGTCATCCTCAGCACCTGGAGATGTCTGGGTTCCTGCATCTCTTAAATCGGAAGACTCTTTAAGGAGTTCTTGGGAATTTCCTGGTTCTTGACCCTTCACTTGTGGCGAGGTTAAGATTTTCATTCTGATATTTCCTGGTGAGTTTGAGAACGTTTGCGAATCTCCTCTTATACTGGAATGTTTTGAAGAGTACGATGACAATGATGCGCTTCCAGAGACAAGCGGTGAGTAGAAACTACTACCAGTTCCAAACTCGCCTAATTTTACAGACAGAGCAATAAGCGCATCTCCTGTATTTAAAACTACTAGTCCATCTTTAGCTAAGCTGTGCTTCGGTGAAAGTGATGGATATGGTGGTGATAGTTCATATTTGGTGTGTACAGCGAATCCATGTTGTAAGCACTTAGGTGGTGTCGGTGGGCTAGGAATAATATCTGCAAACATGGCATTCCATGCTGGGTCAAAATCTATGCACAATAAAAAAATATGACAATTAACAGTTAGTTCCACCTTAAATATATTCTTATTCTTCATTTGCCAAAAGTACAATATAAAACAGTGATAAACTCGCATACATTAAACTATGTATGGGCAGGTACACAAAACCGAAAGTAATAATAATCTAAAAGTCAGTCATCCTCACTTATTCTTTTTAAAATTAACAATAGAAGATCATACATGACATTAATATAGGCTTATTGTCATCATTATTATTCATCAATAATTACTATTATTATTTCCGTCTGTTGAAGATAAAAAAGCACAATGGGAAATTGAAGAAAACAATATTGAGTTGAAGGTCGTCTGAGCAAAATATTGTATAAAACTTAACTGTTTAACAATTAATCTAGTATCAAACTATAGCTAGAATTTCAGGTGTGAAAACTTTTAATTCATGATATTAAGCAAATGACAACAACTGTTAACTCTAAAGACCGGAGCATTGTATAATATCAAAATATATACTACTATTAGTACTTATTCTCTAAAAAACAATTTCTATATGAAAACAAAAATTCACAATTCTTACCAAATTGATCTTGGTTTGAGTATTTGTGAAATAAGCATTGTTGACAAGGTAGAATAGATGGGATAGCTGTTATTGTTAAGTAACACTGTAATTTCTCTTCATCAAAATCATATGTGTTCCTTGCACAACTGTGTAACAAAAGTAGAAAAAAAAAATCCAACACATTAAATTTTTTTTAAAGGTAGAATTATTTGGGCTTGTATGCCATTAACATTACTGAATTAAACAAATGATATGGTATTACATGATACATTTTTGTTATTTTTGATTAGATCTAATATATTACATATTCTAATAATATTACAGTAATGTTAGCTGATTAACTGATTTTTGCCTACCATCCATAGACCATAACCTTTGATTGGTCAGTTGGCCAGCTGCAAACTGCAATGTACAGGTCCTGCTGAATTTCCTCATCACCAAATAAGCGCACTTCAGAAACCTAAAAATAATTCAATATTGAGAAAACATGTAGGATGTGAGTGTATGTAAAGCTCTGTCCAGACTATCAAATTGTTGTGACATGCCTAAATATGGTCATGATGACATCACATCATGACCATATATAGGCACATCATGACAATATATGGACATACTATAGTTTTTTTTGTCAAATAAAATTTAATAGGCTGGACACAGGGATTTTAAATAATAAAATCTATATTTTTACCAAATAATTGACAATTAATACTTTTTATAATCTTAATAATAATTCAGTTTATACAGTACTACACAATCATTCTATTTATTTGACTTCTCTCCTTGTTGGTTTTGTCCCATCTTTCTTTTCTTCTCTGTCTTCCTTTCCCTTGTAATATGTTGAGCCTTTGTCCCCTCCCATGTCACATATTTTAAAAATGTCATCCTAGGGAGTTTTCTAAATAATAAATAAATAAATAAATAAATAAATAAGGAATAAATGTATTCCTTTTATCAATTGTTGTAATGCTTTTTTAATGTTTATTGAATAAAAGTGATTTTATATAACAAGACTATTGTAAGCAAGGATTTTATTTTTTTTAATTATTATTTGCTCACATGTTTGTTCTGTATTGTGTACAGATAGTTTATAGTGTTATTATTATACAATTGGCTTTGTCAATGTGCATTTTTGTTTTTTTAGTTTAGTTTAGTAAGTTTTATACAATGTTTTTATGTACCTCACAGCTTTTTGTAAGAACACCCACTGGGTGAAAGAGTCTTGTGATTACATAAAGATTATTTATTATTATTGTTACAGGGTACGAATAAAGAAGTCTAATATAATGCAGGTAATTATAACAATAATAACACAATATAACAACAACAATATATAAACATAACAACAACACAAACAACAACACAAACAACAACACTAACAATAACACAACACTCACATTAACACAACAACACTAAAAGCAACACTAGCAGCAACACTAATATCAACACTAACAGCAACACTAACAACAACACTAACAACAACACTAACAACATCATCAACCACAACAATGACAACTACTGTACAATAATAGAAGCAATAACAATGACATCATCATCAACAACAACAATAATAATAAGAAATACTTACTCTATCCATTGGCTGAGCATTATTAAACTTCCACCAGTGTAACCTATAGACATATATAGGGAATGCTGTGTGATCATCAGCCTCTACGTTAAGAGTGTAGGATAAAACAAATTGACCATCTTTACTAAAGCCGAGAAAAACATGACTGAAAGAAAGAGAAACCAAAGAAATTAGTTTTACCCTTAATATAGTACTTATACATTCTTTAACAAATTCAAATTAGGTATCGAAAATACGTTTTTCAGTGTAGCGCTGTAAATAATATAACGTACTGTAATATAAACAAATAGATAAATATACCAGTAATCAAATACAGTAGGAACATAATCGTATCAAGAATAGCCCTTCAAAGAAAAGTTCATTTTTCAGTTACTGTATAAGTAAAAAAGGTGTCTCCAGTGGGATTCAACCAGCAGCCTCTTGTTGTTTTAGTGCCAAATATATCTGAATGGAAATTTGTTAACACATCTATTTGTTATTCTATTATTAAATAAGGAAATTTAAAGAAGAGAGGTACATTATAAAGGATTGCTCATGGGCCTACAACTCCTCAGCTTCATTGAGTCACAGTGACAGGAATGATCCCAGGCATTTTCCTTACCCTTCCTCATGGAGAACAGCAGTATCAACAATGTCCTTTAGCGGGATTCCCAAACGTTCAGGTACCTTCCCAAAAAGTGAACGGCACACTGGATAACTAGTTTTTGTTGGGTGGAGACTGCCACGTATCTAAATAGAAAGAGAAACCACTTTAAATATAATTTTTATGAAAGCCAGATATTCAAATAAAAAACGGACACTTATAATGTCTGAGCTATAGGCCTAGATAAATAAACAAACAAAATAAATAAAAAAAACCTAAGAATCATGAATGCCATTTACAATAGTGATAATTGGCACAGAAAAACCGAAGGTGACCAGGATGTGACTCCACATTCTGATATCGAAACAGTGTCGCTGTCGCACCCATGCGCACGTAGGCACACGTTAGGCAGTACGCTGGGCTCCGGTACCTTCCACCTTGGGATAAGCCCATGGCTCCAATACAGTGCACTGCAAAGACAGCGACGCTGTCTCCATAAAAGTGCAAGTAGAGCCCAAAACTGGCCACGGCACCATGAAATGAGTGCGGAGACGACACAAAACAACCATAATGGTAAAAGATTAAGAGGTGAAAATATGCATTTTTAAAGCAATTAAGAGACAATGACATCTTGATAGGTTCAGGTAAATGGTTCAATAAATCGGGTGCTGCCGACACAAATGCATGTGTGCCCCAAGATCTTTTGTTCAAATTCCAGATTAAACTTACCGATAAATAAAAAATAAATAATTACAGAATTTGTAGATTTCAATATATATAGCTTTAAATAAATTTCAATGTGTTACTTATTGAAAATATGCAAATTAGCATTAAACAAAAATATTTATTTTAGTATCAGCCATGCGCACGTCTAAACAAAGAGTAAAGTCTAAAAGAAAGTGAATGAAAATCGACATTACAGAAAATTTACAGTTAGGCCTAGGGTTAAGCCAGTTCTATTTCAGATTTGCATAAAATCGTTGGAACAATAAACATGGCTAAAATAAAGTTTACATGAAATATAGCCTAGGCCTAAAAATTATTATCATTCCTACACTAGCTAGGCCCTAGGCTTAAATCATGAACTCCAAAACTGGAGTCTCCCTGCCAAAACAGGGGTGTTGGCATGTATGGGCTAGGCCTAGTCTAGCTAATAGCAGAGGTAGGTCTATGCCTATGTTTATTGTTTCGTATGAATATAAACCAAAAACAAACATGGCTTAGGCCTAATTACTAATTAGGGGCTAATGTAGGCCTAGGCCTAGGCCTATAGGCTAGGCCTAGTTAGTAAGTAACTTGTAAGGGTTATGCTAGGCCTAGAATATGATATGTATTGGTAGTTAGGGATGGGAATAAAATAATGTTTAGCTAGGCTGTCTCACGAAATTCCTGCATTGGATTAAAATTTAGTTAGGCCTAGGCCTCACCCTACCTAGCCTAGGCCTATGTAGAAAGAAAGAAAGGCTGTGTAGGCCTAGGCCTAGCCTAGGCTGGCCTGCTGTACTGACCTCACGCATACGCAGACGATGTACTACGTTATAAGAAGGATATATGCCTTTCCTGGAAGGCATATAACAACTAAAGCCAGGTTTAGTTGCCATGGCCAAAATTACATTAAAACGAAAACGTTGATTCGCCAAAACGGCAGACAAATTGTTCTTTTAGTAATTCATCTTGATCGGTTTTCCCAAGAAGAGTGTTCTCCCGCCACCTACCGGACAAAAATTGTTGATACTTGATGCAATCGATCCGGCAGAGGTTTATATTATGAACTTTGAACTGCACAATTGCTACGCATCAATAGGCTGCAACTCATCCCTGAGGCTGCACTCATCCCTGAGAAAAACAGAAATGAGAGATTAGTTGCTGAACAAACATTTATTCATAAATTTGATAGTATTAATAGTGGCCTCAATATAGATCTAGGCTTTCTCAGCCACTAGAGGATTTAGTTTCTGACTCCATTGTTCATATTAGTATTAGCACAATGACCGCACAGATAGTTTATCTCCCTAGCTCTATTTATTAGTTGTATTGTAAGTAGCTTGATCACACTTGTTATCTCTGATCATTATATACTACTGTACATTGTATCCGACTGTTAATTGGTTAATTAACAGTCGGATACAATGTACAGTACATTGTATCCGACTGTTAATTGGTTAATTATGAGACCTTTAATAATTATGTATGCATTAGCTCTTTCTATTTTGTTTTCAAATTTTTACTTCACACACCTGATGAGAAGCTGGCATGACTGCCAGCGAAAGCTTGTGTTGAATATATTACTTTAAAGTTAGTCTCAGAGTGCTGCCTTTTATAATCTGTGTACCCAAGATTGAGTATTTTGACTTGGTCTTGGGTTCTTGGGTATTCCGTTCAAATCCTTGGGTATTTTATTTCTACTAAGAAAATTAAATATTTTTGTCATAGAGGAAGAATTAAAAAGTAACAAAGTATATTTCGTCCATTCAAATAAGCAAAACTCAACGAAGTGTACATAACATTGTTAATTGACTATTAATTCACAGATCACAAATTGTTTATTTGTGATTTGCGTTGCCACTGATCTTACCTAATTAATGCATTCATAATAAAACTTGATCACTGATCTACTGATAACACTGGCCGACTGAGGGCGTATTTTTCTATCCGTATTATCACCTCATGAATATTATTTTTTAATAATCAACACAAACAATTACAATAAAAAATTGGTTTATAAATTGAACTAAAAGGGAAACTATACATGCGAAAAACACGTATTTTTCAAATTTTAATGCATTTTCAGGAAGCTTGTGTAATATTGGGCAATTTTTGCTGAATCTTGGGTAATTTCGACCCAGTCATTGGGTATATCAAAAATTGTGAGCGGATCTCGCTGAAAGCAGCTCACATTTCAGAATTCACCACTTCTTATTTCAATAGGCTGACCTTTGTAATCACAGATTACAATTATTTTGTGATACTTCGAAAAATGAGCTCAACTTCCTTTGCACATTATGTTGATTGTTCATGCACTCTATATAAAGTATTGAAATTGAAAATTACCATAAAGAAGCAAAATAAATTTTTGACAAGTGCAAAAAATACCTCACTTTGACTTCAAAGATATGCCGCATTGTAGCCTACGATTTAATGACTACCCCCATTGAGTTCCCAAAATATTATTTTTACCTAGTGAAATCGTTTTGTTTGTACTGATTATAGGCCCCCATTGGAGTCTTAGGATTTTGTTCTTTAGAGTAAATTTCCCGGTAAATGTGTGTATAAGCCATTAATTGTTTTATTCTGTACTGTATTGTACGGATGCACGGCATCGAATTGATGTAGGCCTATTATATCCCGCTGATTCTAAAGCGATCAACAATATCCAAAGGACAGGGATTATTACGTTCATCCATTTCAGGCAAGTACCGTAGGCCTACTCGCGCGAATAAGCGCCGGGCGCATAAAATATTTTTTTGGCATTTTTTGAAGGGCGCTTATTCAAACGGGGCACTTATGAAAACCGAGTGGAAATTGAGGGGGCTCTTATGGAAATAGATGAAAATCGATGGGTTCTTATGGGAACTTATTAAATTCAAGAGGCACGTTTCTTGAATGAAAAAAAGATCATATAAGGACATTTCGAATGGTGGTGCGGCGGATAGATATCCAGAGAACATGGCCCATGACAAGAATGCTGTGAATATTTACACAACAGCAGAATAACAGATGCAATTAGTGGTGGTGGGTAATGTTTAGCTTGCTGGCCATCGGCCGATTGATATTAGCACCCAGCTAACAATATTACGTTATAAGAACTTTACCGTATAATAACGTTACAGTTTGGTGATAATAACGTTATTTTGTAGAACCATATATGTACGTACTTATAACATAATTTCCCAACGTCACAACGTTGAACGTTCTTACAAAAACGTTGTGGACGGTTTGCTGGGACGATGGCAGGATCATTGCAGATTTTCTTGAAAACTCAGATGAGAATGTGCTAAAGGTGCAAATTGTCGGAAAAAGAAAAAGAGGATAGGAAATATAGGCCTAGACAAATATGTAAGAAGAGGAAAGTTGTCTGTCCGATCGGAGCTCTCGTCTGTCCAAGAGAAATATCCTCATTATTGACCTAAGAAGAATGTGACCACTCTGCAGCTCAAATCATGCCAACAACCACAGTCTCATGATTGATTGGATTATTGACTTGCTAAAAAGAAAATCTTATGATTATATCAAATTATTCAAACGGGGCGCTTAAGGAAATTTTCTCGTTTCTCAAAAGGGGTGCTTATTCAAACGGGGCGCTTATTCGCGCGAGTAGACGAATTACACGCTTGCTTCTGCTTATCATGGATCGTTCTTTCAACCGTTTCACAGAGTGACGTTATCAAGGGTACTAGATTCAGGATTTTTCGCTAAAGGTGGGAGGGATGGCTACAAAACTTTGAATGGTTTGAATCAACACTTCACACCAACATGAGAGTATGGTCCCCTCAGTTTAATCCATAAGGAATAGTAGAGGGAAATGAACTTAAATGCACGTTTTTTGCATCCTTTTCCTTATCCGTAAAATTTACCATGCAGACTTTCTGGTTTTTCAAGTAGGCCTAGGCCTACCAAATCAGTCAAATGACGAATACAATAATACTGCATTACTAGTAAATGTTATAAATACATTAAACCATGACATCATAATTACCACATTTTAATAGAAAATTGAGGCATGGCAATAACTATTATCGGTATATTTATCACAAGATGATGTTGGCTCGGAGCACTTACCATTCTCAGAGTGTTTATATTTTCAACGTGTGGTATACATACCGTACATTTTTTAAATAATAATTTCTATGATTAACTTTTGTTGTTGAATGGTATATGAAACATTGGTGTAATGATTCTTAACCAATTGCTTCATATTTTAATATTTAATTCCTGTCGATGTTCTGATCATGTGAAATTGTATATTAAGTGAATACGATAAAGGATGTATAATGATTAAATATAGAAAGTAAAATAACGTGTAATGAGATAATCCAAACAATAGTTCTTTGTAGTGATGGCTTCAGGGCCTAACGGATGCTACCGGTGGATGTTGCCGGCTGCAGATGACCCTGGCAAGGGGTCAGATGTCCCCGATGAATGATAAAAATTGATACCATAGTTGGTACGGGATGCTCAATTAATTTATATCTCTTCTCAACCGATATCCCATTATATGTAAATCTCAACAAACGTTGATGCAACTTATGTCCACGTGACGGTAGGCCATCATGCGTTTCCGATTCATAATAGATATAGACTGAAAATACATGATGTTTTTATACATGCGTTTATTATTCAAATGTATTTAAGGGTCTCCTATGTGGTTTAGTACCACCTGTCATTAGCTTGTGAATTCTTTCTTGTTGATACTTTTAAGCTGATCCAGTTTTTATAGTACAGTATATTTAATTGTCGATTGTCCTAAGCTAAATGTAAAGACGGAATATATAATGATAGGCATAGATTTAAAATTAGTAGGCCTATTAGATCTGTACGATATAGACTTAGGCCTACCTCAGAGGCAGATCCAGAATTCTTCGTTAAGGGGAAGGACGCTACCAAAATTATTTAAAATAGGAAGCTTCAAATGCCTATCATTTCAGAGAAACATTCACACTAAATTATTAAAATTTATTCAATGGTTTGATATTTTCGCTATAACGATGTGGGCTATGTTTGATGCCACTTGTCTTAAACTTGTGAATTCGTTGTTGTTAATAATTTAAATTGATTTCGTTTTTATACTGTAAGAGAATTTATTTTAATTGTCGAATTCCTAGAGTATGGTCTCCACCCGATATAGCAAGAAATTAGTTTATCGCCCTCTTTCAAGAAATATTTGATTATGGTTGTTGTATGCATGAACATAGTGATGTCATTATGACACTATTTAATTGTATATAGATCCAGGGAGTTGTTACTATAACAACTCCCTGATTAACCAGAGCTTAATCTTTAAAATGATGTATTAAACTTTTGCTTTAATGAATAAAACATGTATCATGGAAGAAACATAACATTCAGAAGAAATTACTGTATGCATAATCAGCTTTATTTCTTAAATATAATTTTTCTACATTCTAGTGCTGAGGTGCTATGGTTACACCATTATTCCTTCATGGTTACGCCACCTTTTTTTGAGTGTTTTACCTTTATGTGACTTGTGATAAAATACATAAAATATCACTTTTAAAGTAACAATTATTAGCTTAAATGTAACTCATTTCAATCATATCAAATTTATTTTTTTATATTTTAATTAGCTTGAATTATTATAAATTTAAAATGGATTTTAAATTGGAAATATTATGGAACTGTTTTTTTAGAAATAAACTCCACCTTCAACAACTGTGCAACAGTTATACAATGTGAAACCATAATTAGCATACCACTGTATTAATTGCAAAGAATATACAAAGAAAATAACAATCCAGGCACAGGGGAAGACACAAGACTAAGAGTAACTGAACACTTGCAAAAGTTACAAGAGTTTGTATCCTGTACATTAATTGATTATAAGCAACAATTCCTTTCACACACAACAGACATAAATTCGGAAATGACAGGAAATGGGTTGGTTTGTACATAAGGAGGAAATCCCCTACAGTACTAGACATTTGTTGTGGTCAGAACCACTATACCCAAGGAACAAAATAAATTTGAGTTGTGAGTGCTGAAAAGTATAGTAAAATTTAGTTGCAGTCCAAAACTTAATTAATTGTTGCAGCTACATGATAAATAATAGCCAAGTTAATCTACGGTAAAGCAACACTTTGATAACATTTGATCACTGACAAAAATATCAGATATCATAGCATGCATCTGGTATGCCAAATTAAATACCAGTACCTGTATGCAACCATAATCAGTAATTGGAACAATATCAATATGGTATTTCATTGGGAAACCATTTTAAGGACTTACACTTATGCTCTGATGTGTTTTTCTTGATGTCAGCGAAGATAATTAACAGCTCAGTAACAGGAATTTCACATCCTTGAAGTTGTCCTATTAACATCATAATATACCAATAATTGAGGCAACAGAATGTGTTTCAAAGGCAACAACCTCTTGTAGTGCGAGGGAATTGCTATTGGGGAGTGGAGTTGTTCTGGGGTCAAGACAGGCCTGTGGTGATTTGATTGTGGTGGGCAAAGTCAATGTTAGGGTAATCGTAACAGCCTTCACACATTGAAAAACATATGTGGTAGGTCCGTGGTACTGATGCACTGGAAAATATCCATGATAATTAAGGCTTAATTTGTTTTGTAAAACTACAGCATGTTAACATATTTTCAACATGCAAGTGCATTGCAGTTTACAGCCCACTGTTTACCTAAGATCTAGTGACTTGGTAGTGAAGAAATCAGTCTCAGTTAAAGTGGCTTTCTAGAATTGAGGTGGGGCATGTCCCTTAAAAATTTTCTGCCCCAGTCGCCCCACTTGCAAATGGTCAAAGTAAAAAAATTTAAAAGTATTTAAAAATGAACTCAAATAACTTTTATTTTCAAGCTAGCGGACCGTCCCTTATCAATGAGCCCCACTTCACCTTCATTCCCCATCAGCTTCCCATTTCAAAAACTATATATGCCACTGCTCAGCTAGACTATACAGTGTGTCCATCTAAATTTCAAAAATCTAAAAGGTCAATATATTTTTGTCTTTTTTATATGTTATCTTTACAAAAAATAATCTTTAAATGTTCTACTATAAGATAATATTCATGTTGCTGGGCTAGCAACATACCCTCACTTTTCTGTTGTTTAGCTAGACTAATAATTGCTTAGCCTCAAATCTACCTTAATTGTGTTAGATGCTTTACAAACCCTTCATGTCCAACAGTCTAAATCTATACCTACTATAATTATTACATATTGGTAATTGACCTTTGGCCCAGCTTTACACACATTGCTCTGTAAAGCCAAAACAACGTTTTTGTACTAAATTGTGGTCCATGTTTTAAAAGCAGAGATTATAAGATGACCCATTTTGAATGGCAGGGCTATTGTGCACAAAACCTCTGCACACAGTATGATAGTTCACAAAAATATATGCATATTGAAGCACATTCCTTACAAACACTTAAATGTTTGTAACTTCTAATACTTTTATGGTTAAAAAATCAAAAAGAAGCTGTAAAACATGCAATATAAAATTCTTATTTTTAAGACCTGCTTTTAAATAATTGTCAATAACATGATAAATATAATTTGCATAATAAAAAAAAATTGCTTTCATTTAACAATCTAATCTACATAGAGTATTGCACCTTTTTGGAACACACCAAACTAATGCAATGGAATTTCATATATTCTACAATATATAAGGTTGTTCTATAATGTAGAAAAATATTCTATTAAACTAAACTAGAAAAACTATTATTTCTCTACAAATAAAGGTACTATATTATCAATCAGTAGTTTAACTATATCATGTCAAGTGGTTATCTCTCGGTGTAGCTACTGTTATGGCAATAGGGCACAACCTATTAAATATATAGTGTATACTATAGTATAGTGTACTGTACTGATAGTGGGAATATCAATCACAAGTGTATGTACTGTCTTGAATAACAATCTTAAAAACTACACTAACTACTAGTAATGATTATTATATCAACTTCGTACAACTTTGTAGTACAAGGAAAAGTAAAATAAACATTTTTCCGTTACTTATTTTATCAGGAATTTTGTTGAGATTAAACTACATCATCTATTTCTGACACAAAGCATAAGAGTTGATTGATTGAGTTGAGATTGCATAATAATAATAATTATGTTGGCATACTTACATTAATTGGATACAAAATAATCGTTGTCAATTAGAAAAAAAATTACATACACTACCTTTAATTATCTCATGACCTGCTAGAGATAATAGTAATTAAAACACATCGTTAAAATTATATGTTTTTGGATCAGTGTTTTGTTCACAGTCCCAACAAGTTGTTGATATCTGAATTTTTTTTTTTAAACCTGGGTGGTTTCATTATTTATAACAACCGGTGTGATCCTTGCCCTCTCACGAGGGCAGCAGACTATCAGATCTGCAATCATAGTTGGCAATGGCAACTGTTTAATTGTCGATGCTGGTATATGCTTTAAAATCACTAGACGACACATATGCACTAAATTCATCTTGGGAGGCAGTTGCCATAGACGGACAGTGCCTTCTGTGGATGATACGGCTAGAACATCGTCAGAATGACTAAATGATATGCGAATGATTTCGGGATACATGCTCAGTTTGCAAGGTGTCATCGCAAAAGCCGCTGCTTGAGTCTTGGAGTCGAGTAGATAAAGAATATTACCGGTACTCGATGACATCATCACTATGACGCCATCTTGACAGCCGACAGCGAACGAATCTCCTTCCATGTTGTATTTTAGACAAGTTGCTTTCATGACGTTTTCTGGAAGTTTACAATGAAGGATTTGCGATCCACTTTCAATGTTCTTTACATAAACCTGATCGGAGTTGACACAGAAAGCCAGAACTTCATGTGGGAACCGTGGATCAAAATCATAACAGCGCTCGTTTGTGAGCTCTTCATCCTTACCATCAACTAAAACGCATTCCAACTTTGACAGGTCACGTTTAATAAGGAACAGTTGGCCAGCTGTTGTGCTTATCGCCACAAACTGACTATCTGGAGAGAATCTACATTCTAAACGATCTTGATTTATTAGGTGCTTTTGGAGTTTGAAGTGTTGAAAAAGTTCACGTACACACCTCTGATACATAACAAGCATATCACTGGCTCTTAAAATTATTACCACAACAGCTAAGTTTAGGTGTAGACGAGAGCGCGCTAGTACAGCCACGTAGTTAGAATCCCCCGAGAAGGCACTAAAAAAGAACGTACTACAGAATGTTTCCTTAGCTTTCACCAGACTATTCTGGCATAAACTGGAGCACATGATGTCTGTATCCGTGAAAAAGCTGACAAGTGTTCCATTCGTTGACACGCTACAATGTGGCAAGGCACGACTTGGCTTAGTGTTCAAAACTTCTGGGTCTACAAATGAGAAATAAGTATCATTAAAAATGACGATGTAATTTCATTTAAAAGACAGATAAAAATATTAAGTAATGTTTTCTGAGAGTATTACACTTACAGTGAGGATCATTGAAGCGCCAGAGAGTCATAAATCCTTGAGGAATCCGGAAGTAATTCTGCAGTCGCATCTTACGAAGCTGTGTCAGGCCTTGTGATCCTCGATAAAAGTAGCCACCAAGAGACGTGATGATCTGGCTGTCATCAAACGGCATAAACATGCAGTCTGTCCACCAAATTATCTGTGCAGGGTCTAGGCCGGTGGTAACCACTCCTGGCGGAATCACATTAAACTGGTAGAAAACATGGCCCTGGTCGTGCCCCTCCGAACAGAGGGCACGGCCCGTACTGGACAGAATTTTCTGCTTTGGGAAGCATTTCCACATGGTTTGCGGGACGGTCTGATTCCACTTTCTTTTTGTTTGGCGCCCTCCATCAAGAGTAATAGTAGCACCCATTGTCTTCCTTAATGCTCTATTGTCTGCCTATTAACAGCTTAGCCTGCATTCAACCATTTTCAAAGCTAAAGAAAAAAAAAGAATAGTAAAAATTGTGATTACTGTTTTAAACTAGAGCCTTGCAGGCGCCAATGTTCCTATGCATGATACTGTACATGACTTAACCAACCATATTTTCTGATTAAGTCATCATAAATGACATAATCAGAAAATATGGTTGGGTCAAATTTGTGTGGTGGTTGAAAAATTCAGGGGGAGTCTTTATGGCCCAAAATAGTGATTTTAGACCACATTGGTAATGTAATTTGATAGGCAAATTACAGTAATATTTTTAGCCAATTTCTTTGAAAAAATTTCGTAGGCCTCAGTGCCTAGCTAGGTATACAGTATTTTCATTTTACAGTAGTTTAAAACGATATCAGGAGTGGGGGAGCTGGCAGTGGCCTACTAGACTACAATTTATTTGAAAATAGCTTGAGCGTCCACACCAGTTGGGCCAATCGTCTGTCACTCGAAGTTTTCATCACGATGATCAAGAACATACACGATCTAGGCCCCAGACTAGGCCTAGCCTTGCTGCCGTCACTCTGCTACATATACTACCGCATAACAAAGAAAGCAACCCACGCAGTGCATTCTTAAATTTTACACACATTATTTAAATGTTAGACAATAACACAGTATCATTGATTGAATGATCTACCACCCTCGCATCGCAGTAACTACAGTACTGTACTAAACTAGGCTTAGCCTAGGCCTTATGTTTTTGTGGAAAGCCTAAGCTAGATAGTCGTTATTTACCCGACAGTCGGCTGCCTTTATATCTTCACTTGTCTTCAGTTAGCATTCAAAGGGTACACTGCTACATAGCCAACTGTCGGGGATATAGTACCTTCATATGACTACTCGCACAACAGAAAAAGGTAGCGAAAAATGGAGATCTAAATGAAAAAACGATGTATTTCAGAAAATATTAAAACCTTTTTTTCATTTTAGGCCTTTTTAAAATGCCTATGCCTACAGCAGTTGATTTTTTTTGCCGCAAAACCAAAATAGTTTCATCCATGCCAACTTGCCGATCGGTTACCGTGAGCCCTGACTGAACACTGCAGAAACTTCACATCAAACTTTGCATCGCGAGGTAAAACAAAATGTCGGAAAACTTTTCTTTGACGCATGCGCATTTGCATAAATATCTACACACACGCACGCACACACTACACACAGGAAAAACAGTGAAGAGTGAAATACAATAGTTCCTATTGCATTACATGCTCGGAAACTAAAAATGAATGAAATAAATATTGCTGAAAAATAAAAGAAACAATAAATTATTGAAATCCTAAAAAATTTTTGATGCAAGTTTCTACTAAAAAATATTCATTGTAAGGGGTCAAACAATACGCTAGATGGGAGGAGGTAGACAAATTTGTACACTTTCACATATTCATAAAAATGTTGATTTAAAAGTACATGCAATATAATAATAGATTTTTATAACCAATTATAATGCAAAATATTTCATGCAACCAAGTACAGTATTTTAGTTGACTTCACAAAAAATGGAGAATGGTTTTGCAAATCAACATTTTTATGTACACTTTCAGTCCTAACTTTTAGTGGGGAGGGGGAGGGTATTGAAAAAATGCACAGTACTGTGAATACACTTGTGAAAATGTTCATAATTCTGTCCTTAACAGCATGTAAATATGTACCAGTAGGTTGTTACAAAGAACAGGTTGACAAAGAGCTCAACCACACTTGATACTGTAGTTACATCTGCTCAGAACAGGCTCAGCACCACCTTTTTTTGAAGTGTGAACAACTGATAAATTTTAGGCCGGCTCAGATTCCGCAATGCAAGACCTGGGCCACCTCATCTTCATATCTGAACATAAACTGGACCTAGGTTGGCAAAGTCGCCTTGATAGTTAAGTCAATTTTGACATCTTACACCACAACATTTCACGCAAAAGCCAGTCCAAAGTGTGAACATTCACAGTGAGACGTTGAGCCGACTTAATAGTAACTGTGAATGGAATGGTCATTTTGAGTGGGCTGTAGTTGAGGCGGCCCTGGGCCGATAGGATATGTGCGATTATGCTCAAAAGAGATGGCTTCTGAGAATACTACAATACTGAAAGTAAGATGGACAATAATGTAAAATAAATGTATTAAAGAACAGTGAGAATTTGGATTTGTATAATGATTAACGGTATACATCGCTTGTCAATTCTAAAACCTTGGAGGTGAAGAGGAGGATATTATTTCTCAAAGAAATGAATTTATGAAGCCACTGCATGTAATTTAGTCAGCACATGGGAATCATTTTCAATACACAATTCTTGATTCTGGGCAGCTGGTTCTAAGTAAACATTAATATTCATAAAAAATGAAAGTCTAATTTATGTTCACTGTTATAGTGAGTTATGATGGACATTTTGAAATAATAAAATTGGAAGAAAAACCCCAATGTAACAGTAACATTCGCAAATTAATTTAATTACACATGCTAAAAATCTCATGTGAGTTAAACCTTGTATCAATGTATTTTTTGATTATTGTACAACAAAGGCCTTTTCAAAAAAAATAGGATCCATGAATGAGTTTATTGGGTAATATCCTGAATTTTTTAAATTTTTTTTTTCTCTTCCAAGTTTGATGTGATTTTGGACTTTATTTATTTTTCAAATTACATAAATAAAATCAATTTAATTTATTAAAACTTATCTCACAGCTGAGGGTTAAATTCTGAGTATGGCACAAATATAAACACATGGTGAAAACATGGTTAATGCATGAGGAACAGTCCTTCAAACAATTAAAATTTAATATATGTAACAGCATGACAAAAAGCTACATAAAGTTAGGCATAAATCCTAAAAAAGTCCCTATTTAAAATGATCATGTGTTCACTTAAATTTTGGAGTAAAAAGTTTTATAAGTGCATTCTTAACCGTCTTAAAAATATGGACCTTTTTCCGATTTGGGGGAGGGGTGGGTAATATGCACCCATCGCACAGGACACCCTGGTCCATTGGGGAAGGAGCCTGTCATTTCGTTGGTGAGGAATGCATTTGTGAAATTCCCATTTCTTAAATATTGGTCACCACACCCCTTGCTGATGGTAGCCACTGGTGTATTTAAGGGGTGTGCTGTGGGAACCCCCCACGGACCCAAACCACTGGAAAAGTTGGAAGCGTAATAATCCCCATCCATAGTCTCCATTCCAAAACTCCTAGATATGGAAGTGTGGAACGTCTACTAAGGATCTGGAATCCTTGCTGTGGGAATCTTTCTGGTACCATCATCACTGACGAGGGTGGTGGTACAATGGCCAACAGATTTATTTTTCCTATTGGACAGGAGATTTTTTAATATTGTATCTTTGCTCTATTAATAATTGTTTTTCCATATAATAAACAATGTCTAGCCTTTATACCTCAATGGCTTGAATGCATCATTGCACAAATTACCACGGAACGAAATGCTTTGTGACGAAAACAAAGATGATCTCCTTGATTCACCAGATTTTCTTCATTATATATACTAGTGTGTGTTCTATATTCAGAAAATCAAATATATAAACATTTTGCTTCTAAATATGTGCGATTATCGGAGCGATTATAAACATACCATCAAGAATAATATTATTAAGCACGTCATTTCCTAGCAGTGCCTGGCTGGCTTATACATACACAGTGAGGACGGTGCAAATTAAACCACCATCCAGCAAAACATCAACAATACAATTGCTGCACTAACAAACACGCATTTCATATCCAGAGCTAGGCCTACGTAATGAATAAAACATTTATATAGTCCTAATCCAAGACAAAACCTTAACAAAATAAGCATGATTTTATACCTGTGATTCTGTCCTCCTACCTGTAAAATACAAAACTGAGAGTACTTTATCAGACTATTTATGGACGTCTTCCTCGACTGCCTGTCTGTTGTTCTTCGTGAGTTGACCTGTGGGATGATGACCTGGGATGATTACGTAATCATAAGGATGAGCGCGCACCGATCCACGATTTTAGAAATGATGTAAAAAAAATCCTAGTGTTTTTTCAGGGAAAAATCTAACTGTTGATCCTGAAATGTGTTTTTGCTGTGCTTTTGCTGTTTATTTTGTTTTTGCTGTTTGTCCGTTTTTCGTTTTGTATTCAAATCGTTTGTTTCTGTTCATTTACCAAGCCAAGGAGGTACAAAATAAATATTGTTATAGGCCTCACCTCATTGATCTTACCAAATGCTTGTATTTTTAATACAATTGCCAGATAAATAAAATAAACAAAACGTTATCTCTCCTTCTTTGAGTCAAAAGGTTGCGCAAACCATCTTTAAACTTAGTAGGCTAGACATGTAGCTACAGATATATTAGTAAATTGAAACGATCTGTGTTGATCTTTGTCGATCTTTCACATACCCAGGAGGAGACGTGGAAGCCGCTGCCCCCCCCCCCCTTTGTACACCGTTTTAAAATATGTTTAAAGCACATAGTGTTAAAAGCTTGCTTGTTCTTGCTAGCCAATACAAATTCTTTCCTCGGGTGACGCAAAATGAATAATATAGGCTAGTACTTCTAAAATATGTGGCCTAAATATGCATCAGCACACGTTATGCATTAGCCTGGGTTCCAGGACCTAATTTTAGGTTACTCACTCTTTATTGCACTTAGTGCGCGCCATACCTAATTTAATTGGCGTCCCATACTCGATTTCTTTTTTTTATTCCGTCTATCTCTAAATTAACTTTCTCGTTGGTGGCGCTGTCCAGAATGAGAAAAACAATTAAAAAAAATAAGAGACTTGTGGCAAGTCTAGTTATGCATAGGCCCTATAGGATAGGCCTACTATATTATAAAACATGGGCATAAACGTGATTTTTAAAAATCGTAAATCCATAAATCCCATTCCAGGATATGATAATGTATGGTTCATTTTGGTTTTTATTCCTTTGCAAGCGTTTATAAAGCTTTGTTTAATAATACTACTCTACAGTAGTAATAATAATTATGACGATAATCACCTCATCCCCAACCATGATGCCGGGACTGAGGTGGCTTTGAGATCACGGCTTTCAAGTAAAAAAAGTATACATACTCAAAGACAATGTTTTTAAGCTTTACTTTCTATGCTACAATCACACACAGTATAAGATCTCTATTGTTGCCAATAATCCCTAATAAAAGATGAGAAATTTGTTGGCACTTTATTTTGACTATATTATGGTGATGTGATGATGATGAATTTTACCAAAAGTGTCATTTTTGGCCATCTAGAGGTATTTCCTCAAATGTTAATTGTACCAGCCCCAACAATGGTGGGTCTGAGGTAGGTGTGGACTCACGAAGTTCCGGGCCACCCTCTCCACCTTTCAAAGAGATCTGCGCCCTTCCCTGGGTAGTCGGCACCTGACTCGGAGTATGTCTTTGTGGACTGCTGCGGCGAAAGTGCATACATTTGTTTTTAGGATGTCATCTGGTTTTTATGCTCATTTTCGTGATTATAACTACAGTATTTTGGAGAAAGAATGTTTTGAGCAGTGGCAGATTCAAGGCCCCCCACCCCCATAAATTTTTAATGGCAAAAAAAGGAAATAATATACTGTATTCAAATTTAAGTCTCCTAGTGTAATTTCCGGCCATCTAGAGGTGCCCTAAACATAAATTTTCCATGGTGGGGCTGAGGTGGGTTGTTCCTCAGTCTGTGAAAGCCCTTCTCTGGGTCACCTCTCTTACGAATGCCAGGAACCGCCACTGTTGAGTTAATATTATATCGTTAGGTTTACTAGGGGGCCGCACCCCCTAGACCCCACCAGGGTCCTACGTACGTACATAACGGCTCCCCACCCCCTTTCGATTTTGTCATTCTGATCGGATTTTCTCTACTGTTCCGTTTTAATTTTAAATAGTTTTGCATTATGTGGCCGTTTGCTGTTTCATGGGTTTTTCTATAAGAGACAGGTATTATATATGTACAGTAGTGTAAAATCAATTGTCTCCAATTTGGTCCGAATTCAATACAATTTCGGCTCAAGTGGCACAGATGGCATATCTGGCTATACAACAAGAACCCTAGGTTCAAATCCCTGTTGAAGCACACTATAACAAAGATGATAATCTAGCCAGCAACAGTGATATAACTTTAATATTATATGATTATAAACCAACAACAATTATGTATTTCATGAGTTTAATCATTAGTCTTGGTGAAAATGTTAATGTCTGAAAAAAAAGAACAACAATTACAACCAGTGATGGCTCCAGATATTTGCCGACAGGGGTCCTGGAAGAAAAATCCCAGTGGTTGGGTTCAATATGGCCCAAAATTGTTCATATTAGACCAGAATATTAGGGATTGCATTAAAAATGAAGTTGCCCCTTCCCTAACCAGTTGGCACCACCAGTGTCAACAAAAACGAAGTAGGACAAAAGAAGACAGAAAGCAATTCTCATATCTGAAGAATGTTTTTTTTACACAATATTGAGGACAGCAATCATAATAGGGAATGTAATTATGGTGTATAAAAATGGAGAGGATGATGGCATTGGTGATTTGAGACCACACCATTAATCAATCCCTTCTCTTAACACCACCACCCAACACAATTGCTTTCAAAACAGCCTCTATAACATATAGACCGATACAAATACAAATGAGACTACAATTTTTTCTGTATTTATACCATTCTTATTTATAGTTTATTATCAATCTCTGAAAGATTTTTTTAAATTGTATATTTACAAAAACATGATTTATGAGCACCGCTGATTGAGTCATTTTAATTATTAGTCAAATCAAAAAATTAATTAAAAACCAATCATCGATTAAAATAATTGAAACAAACACAGTAATCAAAATCATGAAATTTTCAAGCTGGATTATTTATACATTATTATGGAGTTAAATAATTCATTAGCAATATTGGACTAAAATAATAAATGGACTAAAATAATAATTATTTAATCATTCCAACCTTAATAATAATGCATAATTATCTAAAAAAAAAAATTAATGATAGATATACTGTTGTAGCATAATCTGAAAACTGCTCAAAAATACAATTTTGTCATTGAATACTGTAGTTTATAGTAAGCGTTGAGGCGGTCAGGGTTCCGACTCTCAAACCAGATGTCAGGAGTTTTAAAAACCCAAATGCCATAAGAAAGAGGTATAGGTACTCTGACATGAGCCTAGAGCTTCAGGTATCAACCTTTATATAAACTCATAGATTTAGTTGGTCCAAACCATAAATTGGTAAACATCATTTTCAGAATATTTTTTTTCAACTACAAATGTGATCAATGATTCATGTAAAACACAGTGGTGCTGGGTTTGGCATGATTGCAGATTTTCTAAATGAATCTAAAATTGATGATGTAAAATATAATAAATGGCCAGGATGTCATATCTCACCCACAGGCAAATCACATTATTTGTCATCATATGACATCATATGATAATGTGGACCACTGCTCTATGTGTGGACCAACCTTAAAAAAAATTTAAACTACAATTATTAACTTTATTGGACAATTACTCTATACATTTAATATTTCAGAGTTCACATTTAAAAAAAAAAGAATCAATTATAGCATAGCAATAAAGACAATAATATAAATAGACATAGTATATATTCAAATAAAATAAATTTATTTATTCTTATTTGCAATATGAGAATGTAATTAAGAAAACTACCATTTACAGAAAAGTTTAAGCACTTGTTGCAAAGTAACACTTAAATTTGTATTAAATAAACACATTACAGTATCTTGATTATAATAATTGGTTAAATATTGATTAAGGAGTATACTTATGGTCAAGTCAATGGTAACTGCAGGTTATCCAGGGGTGTTGGTCCAGGGTGCTCCTAGGAATGCTTATCCAGGAATGCTTAACCAGGGGTGTGTCCCAAGTTAGATATTAAACCAAGAAGGGTAGTATTTACCTGTTGCAGATCCCTCATCTACAACACAGTGTATCTAGGAGTAGTGACATGGGGGTATGAATGAGGGTGGGAAGGGATATAATGGTGGGAGGGGGAATAATGATGAGTGGGTGTATACCTTGCTGCAATCCTGGAAATATGCAAAGATTTTAGAAAAGTAAATTTTCTGAAAACAAAATGACAATATATACAACACTCTGTATTAAGAAACTACAGTTCTTAAAAGTAATTATACTTAACAGAGATTATACTTATTGTAGCATAATATATTACAAATATTTCTTCATTTCAATTTAAAAGTCTTAAAATTATAATTTATTCATTGAACACATAACGATTCAATACCATTATTGAGAAGAAAATAAATAGACATGTTATTGCATGGAATGATAGGGCACCAGTAAAAAGTATGAAAGCAGATGTCACTATATTGGCATAAAAATTACACGCAATATGCAACTTTATAATAAGTATGAATGCAACAAAATGTTTATACATTTAAAGGTGTATTAATGAAAACCAAATCTAATAAAAAATAGATTTAATTCCCATCTTTCAAATAGTATAGTATTGATATCTCAAAAAATTTCCTTTACCATCATTACCTGACTTATGTAATGCTATAACCCAAAGGCTTAAACTTAGGGCCCAAGCTAGGCACATCGGATGAGGTGGTGATTGCATCACCCAGTATAAAATTTTCTATTTGGGGCTACCAAGCCCCGAAATCCACAAGTGTAGGCCTAGCTTGGTTATATAACTGTGTGTGTTTATGTATCTTGGGTTGGGTATTCAAGAATCTCTGGGTCGCTAGTCTCACTTGCTGGTTCATTCGAATCAGGAGAGTCCAACTGATCCTCGTCCTGCTTCTTAGTCTGTAGGGTCTTGATGACATCTTCCCAAGAAGACAGACACTGAAAAACAAAGTAGTAAATGCTTCAATAGATGTAATTATTACAGTTGAACTTGCCTAAGTCGAATCCAAATTGCCACTGAAATATTGTTCCACTTAGATAATATTCAACTCAAAGATTGTTAAATAATATAAAACACAACTATTTGGCATGTGAAAATTAGATCGACTTAGAAATTATTCGACTTTGGCAAAGTAGACTTAGGCAAGTTTAACCGTATTACACAATTTCTCAAAAGTAATTGCAGATCATTCAAACAGTTCCAACCATACAACAAATCTATCTGACTTACTGGTCAACAAAAGATTTAGCATCAGTCAAAGGACTGTGCTCACTCAAAAATATAATTTAAAAATTGAATTACATTCTTAAAACTTTCTAATAAACTAGTAAAATTTCAGTGAGACACGAATCAATTCAATTCAGTTTTTTGCATTTACTACGAAAATCCTGATAAAAACTGATTCCATCACCACATTACATTCTTTCCATGAAAACTGCAATTTGATTTTGAGCAAAGGTCAAAGGGCATCTTCAATTTATTTGATTTTATTTTTATTCTCCTCTAGCTAGGTAAATTTGGTAGACCCTTTTGTTTTGAGTGCACATTGGCTCAAAAATCTTGGTCATCGATGGCTTGATAAATTAGGTACTTAAAAATTAGCTCATTAGTGGAGGAATTTTTTTCGAATTAAATATAAGTAATAATCCAACATAAATAAAAATACAACTTACCAAGTCATAATATTTCATTCTTCCCTCAGCCCAAGAAGTGAAGAGCTCTTTGATGTCTTTACGTTTGGTTTTGTTCCATCTATCCATGTCGGCTTTAAGGTCAGCATTTGCAACTTCTGTACGATCATTCAATACCTCTAGTTGCTTTTGAAGCTATAGAAAAAATTAAAAGTAAAAGGTTATTGGTAACATGCGAAGTACTGAAACAAATGAAGAGATATAATTGAAAAATAGAAAAAAATGAACAGCTTAAGTCAGCACCCAAACCGCAGTATGGGAATATGCCTCACTGGTGATCAGAAAATGTGGTATTTCCAACTCGTACAGCATGTCCAAATATTTTCATTATATTATTTTGTAAGATAAAAGACTTTGCAGATTTTAAAAATTGCACAAATTGATTTGACTGTACAGCACATATTACAAAATCCATCTGAATAATATATTTTATCATAACTTTTACTTTTGGTTGTTATATCAGAAAAAAGTGGTTTATTTTAAATCTCATTTTTAACAACTTCATTCCAGTTAGTACAACTGTACTTAGCACTACTGTAGTTGAACATTCAGAAAATAGGAAAATTGCAAAAACCAAAATATTAAATTCAGCGTTAAAATAAATGTAGGTATGGAATTAAAAAGCAAGAAGAAAAAAATGGTAAAATATGATTTAAAAAAATTGTAAATTAAATTAAATGGAATTAAAAAGGAAGATGAAAAACTGTGATTAAAAACAAAACATGCTGTTTAAAAAGCACAGATGATTTTGATTCAAGCATTTGGTCAGTTTGAAATGTGAATTTCTTAACGTTCATTGGCAGATCCAAATCCAAATCAGATGGGGCCCAGGGAGGGAATTTTACAAATTGAAGGTCCATACCTCAGCCCCACCTTAATTGGGGCAAATTTATGTCTACGGCACTTCTAGATGGTCTCACAAGATTGAAAACCTATAGCAGGACCCTGAGATTAAAGGAAAGTTGCTTAACCACTAAGCACTTAATGGTCGTGCATACATGTCCAATAATTCCATTTTGAATGTTAGTTATATTATGTTATTAGCTACCCATGCATTAAATATATTGTGTATAATTAATATATTGTGTTTAACTGCCTAGCTGCTAACAATTTACTTTTAATAAAAAAAATCAAATTTATTTATACAGAATACAGTACATTATTTAGAAGAATTTAAATAAACGATTTAATCAATGAATGTAAATTAGTCGTAAGTTCAAAGTACAGGATTACCTTTTAATTCGTTTGTTTAAAATGATGATTAAAATGAATAAAGACTGCAAAATCTCTGAAGATAATATTAAGTTTTTTTCTCTATTGCTTACTGATTATTTTGTTGACACATTTTCAAAACTTAGAAGCAAGGGGAAAATGATGATGACTGTGTTGGTGGTGGTGTTGGTGGTGATGATGGTGGTGACAATGGTGGTGATGATGGATGATGGTGATGAAGATAATGATAGGAATGATAATGATGGTGACAAATACATTGATATTTAAGCAATTTTTTATATGTTACTTTCTTTTACCCTGAATTTTAAATTTGTGGTTTATCTTATGTACAATGACTGCTGTCTCCCTCCAACCAACCGCTCAGTTTTAATTCATTTTTTAATACCTTTGTTATCTGTGTATCAAGCCTGTTACTTTTATCTTGCTTGACGTCTGTAGGATCTTTGCCCATAAATGCTGCAAACGAGTAATTCTGGTCTGTTATCTTCACCTGAAGAGTGGAACAAGAACAACATTCACAAAGGCCTGCTCCACAGAGATAGAATAACCACAACTAGCACAGTGGTGGCTCCAGAAATCTGCCGACAGGGGATGCGAACCAAGTGGCTGACTAGAATCTCAGTCAGTGTCCCAAAATAAAAATCGCTGGTAGGGTTCACAGGGAGTGTTTTTATGACTTAGTATTCGCCCAAAATTGTTCTTCTAGACCACAACATTAGGGATTGCCAATCAAAATAAACGTTATCAGAATAGGCAAATTATTACTTTGGCCCAACGACCTCGTCATGGCATCGGACGATGGGAGTCCAGGCCTGTCTGGCAGAGTGAAAAATTCCCCCTGCCCCCGCTGGCACCACCACTGAACTACTGTAGTAGCCAAAACAGGATGTAAATTATTCAACAAATCAAAATGTCTTCAACCTGCAGCCCAGAAATCTAACTAATAATTTTCACTTCACTTGGAATTAGAAATTTGGGGTAGGCCCCTGGGGACCTTAGCAGAAGCAATGGAGTGTCACTTGACTTCTACAGTACAACAAAAAACATGCTCCTTAAAACCCTCTCAATGTGAGGGTTATTCGATTGGCAAATATAATAGGGACACCGACTAAAACCTGACAATAGCTGAGACTGAACCCAGGTTTACGCTTACACAATAGTTAATCTTCTATAACATATAGAGAGTGCTATTATAGTTGGCTAATACAGTATAAAATAGAGGATGCTATATTAGGAAATAAAAATGTACAAGGGTGCTATATGATTTTATCTTGTGCAAAATGTACTCTATTAGAATGAGACAATGAGAGAGCTTTTAAAGTTGCTCCAAGCTACTGTATAGAATACAAGACATGCCAGTTGTTTATTATAATTTATAAATGAAAATATACAGAACTTGCTGATAACCTGTCTTTTCAGTTTAACTTAATTTAACTACATCTCTGCTTCCAATGTAATGTATGTTCACTTTTACTGCTTCAATTCAATTTATCTTTAAAAGCACAACATGCCAATTGCATAAAGGCGCTATATAAATTAAACTACGTTACTTGAGAAAACGCTTTCTCCAGTTAACAAATAAATTATAGTTTTATGGTATCCATCATTCTGTAAACTTAAAAAATCAATTTCAATTTGTATGCACTGAGTTTATAAGTCTAGCGACTAGTCTCTACAGAGACATTATGTTCATGTAAATGTAGCATTGTTGGTCTGTATTGATAGTGGGGTTCATTTTCAAATATTCAATATTTAAACACATTGTATATTAAAGTTAAGAATAAGAAAAATAATGAAAATCAAGGGGGAAAAAAAACAATTTTAAACTTGTACAACTACAATAAACTACAAAAAAATTACCAAAAGAAATAATTAACAACATAATCATAAAAAAAACCCATAATAGTGCATTCAATCAACAGAAGCCATATATTTTACAAAAGTGGAGCAAGATACTAAACTTATAATAATACCTGGGACAGATGAGTCCATTATTTTTTTTAGGTAAGTTATAAAACTAACAAATCAAGTTTATCCTGTTATAAATGTACCAGGTCCATTATTTTTTTTAGGTAAGTTATAAAACTAACAAATCAAGTTCATCCTGGTATAAATGTACCAGAAGACAATTTTGAATATGCAATTGAATACGCAAAAAAAAAGAAGAAAAAAAGTCTCATAACTGGTATAAAAGTTACAAACCACCCATACATAGAGTAGGTGGGTTACTAATACTATTATCTAAAGACTAAGATTCCAAGCTTAGGCAGATAAACAGCTAAATATGTAATTATTATGCACAGTGAAGAAGATAATACTATATGGCCTGTGTGAACTTTAAAAAACACACTACACTCATCGAAAAAAAGTAGGAGATTGTCTCCCCGTGTGCTGCCCAATACAGTACACCACCAGAAGGACCACCACTAGAAATTAGTATTTTGACTTTCGCGGTTTTCCTTGTTGCACCTCACTCCGAAGATAAAATTATAAATTGAACCTAAACGTGACTGTAGGCCTATACGCTTCACAGTAATCTCTTGTGTGAAATTTATTCGAATATCATTGGTTAAAATAAATTTGGTAGGTTGGTTAATTACGAACATTATTATGTCTTTTCTATTACGTATTGGGCAGAGTTTTATTACTGCTACTTAATGAAGTATCATTGCCGTGTTAAATGTCGGTGTATTTAAAGCGCACTATCTGCGTTTTGTATTGTAGTAGAGATCGCTGATAGTGTACAACAAACCGTCTAAGACCGAGTGAATAAACTCCAGCACGTGCCTAACAATTAATTCTTGACACGCGTGTGTTTTGCACATGAAATAGGAACTTTATTTATGACAAAAAAAATGACATGATTTTACGCTCGTAAAATCAAGAATTCGTAAATGAGGGGTTCTACTGTACCATGAAACATACATTAAATTTAGACCTAGCACACGGACTTGATTGGTACCCAGCAAAATTTACACCACCATGAAGGAGTATTATGACCTGAAGAAGAGTGGGCCATATAAGCATTTATGCTGCACGACGGCCCAAGAATACAAGTAAGATACAAGTAAGATAGCCTAGTTTGCATAGACTCATATTAACCACAAAGCTTCTAAAGGCCAACTCAGACAGCGTCGGCCGACGCAGCCCGACGCGATTTGTTGTCGCGTCGGGTCTGTGTGAGTTGAACGCAGACGCGATGGTGTGCGTCGGGGGCAGCTAGTCGCGTAGTAGAATATTAAACATATTTAATATTTCTCACGACGGCTTAAGACTGTCCCCGACGAATTGCTATGAGACAGATTGGGGAAATTCAGTAATTGCTGATTTTCATTTCATTTTAATATTTCATCCAAAGAACATTAAAATTCACAAACGGAAAATAACAGAGAGCAAAATACAACAATCAATTGGCCGGACAGGATTGTAAAAAAGTGAACTGAATCACTATCTAGTGGCTCTTCAAATTACATAATAGTAATAATGTTATGTTAAGAGATACATATAATTTCACACAATCAAGACTTTCTTCAGTCATTTGATCTAACACATTTGGAACACATAATCAACTCTGTGGGGAGAATTCCATGATGTTGTAATCTAGTAGTAATTTAGGTTAATTTGTCTTCAAACCTACCAGGTACTTTTATACTTGCACTACTGTGTGGGGAGCTGCTGTCAGACAAATTTCCTTGCCCATGGGCACAAGTAATATGAAAAGAAAGAGATTGAACCCCCAACCTTCAAGGTTAAGAAGCTAAACTACAAATGCTACAAACAATTTTATATTAACTACCTGCCAGTTTATGAACTAAAATATACTATATGGTATTATTTATTTATGTCTGTTAATTAGCAAAGAAAAAGGTTTCTTTTTATAAATTTTATTTGAATTGAAAGTTAATCCCTTAAATAAATATAAAATATTCATATTAAAAAGCATTAGTAACAAGATAGTACCTGTCTCTTATACACATCTAGATGTGTATAAGAGACAGGTATTGATAGTGGGCTTCATTTTCAAATATTCAATATTTAAACACATTGTATATTGAAGTTAAGAATAAGAAAAATAATGAAAATCAAGGGGAAAAAAACAATTTTTAACTTGTACAACTACAATAAACTACAAAAAAATTACCAAAAGAAATAATTAACAACATAATCATAAAAAAAAAAACCATAATAGTGCATTCAACAAAAGCCATATATTTTACAAAAGTGGAGCAAGATACTAAACTTATAATAATACCTGGGACAGATGAGTCCATTATCTTTTTTAGGTAAGTTATAAAACGGACAAATCAAGTTCATCCTGTTATAAATGTACCAGGTCCATTATTTTTTTAGGTAAGTTATAAAACTAACAAATCAAGTTCATCCTGGTATAAATGTACCAGAAGATAATTTTGAATATGCAATTGAATACACAAAAAAAAAAAGTCTCATATTCTGGTATAAAAGTTACAAACCACCATACATAGAGTAGGTGGGTTACTAATATTATAAAGAATAAGATTCCAAGCTTAGGCAGATAAACAGTTAATTATGTAATTATTATGCACAGTGAAGAAGATAATACTATATGGCCTGTGTGAACTTTAAAAAATACACTACACTCATCGAAAAAGAGTAGCAGATTGTCTCCCTGTGTGCTGCCCAATACAGTACACCACCAGAAGGACCACCACTAGAAATTAGTCTTCTGACTTTCGCGGTTTTCCTTGTTGCACCTCACTTCGAAGATATCCAATCCTAGATTTTAATTTAGATTCACTAGGGATTTACATAATGTCTTGAAGCAAATAATGACAGTGTATTAGTTTTTTGCCACCTCTATAAAAAAAAAAAAAAAAGAAATAAAAAAAATAATAATAATACAGTAGAACCCCTCATTTACGTACAGGACAGTCCCAAAGGCATTCGTAAAAATCATTCGTACGTAAAATCGGGGGTTGTGTGAAATTCCTATGTATTTACACTACCGATGCTACACTGGGCTAGGCTAGGCCTGGACTGGAATTTGTTGGATTGGGGCCAAAACTCCTACTTGCGCTCGAAAAGAAATTCAAAATAACGATCATAATTTTACAGTACTATACATACTTGTTAATGTGTATACAAACTTTATTCTCTCTTTCTCAGTCAAAAAATTATGGCTTATCTTTTAGGTTAAGAAGAAACACAGCCCCACGGGCGCCGCAACAGGTCGAGTGAAGCAACAATGTTTTTCACTCAATCCGTGTGCTTGTGGCGTCAAGTAAATACCTGTACACAATAACCCGGAAACCAGGGGTTCACTTATTAAAAGAAGAGCGCTGATTGGCTGTAGACACAGCGCTTCCAAGAACTTTACATTTTTTTTTTGTATGCAATACGATTGTTCTATGCCTACATTAACATTTATGTAATGAATAATAAAGTTAAAAAGAAAATGTGGGTGTCAGTGTCTTATTTTATGGGGGAAATATTGAAATGGTAGATTAACGTTAGTGAGATTTGATAAATAAAAAAATCCATTTTAAACTTCACAGTAATCTCTTGTGTGAAATTTATTTGAATATCATTGGTTAAAATAAATTTGGTAGGTTGGTTAATTACGAACATTATTATGTCTTTTCTATTACTTATTGGGCGGAGTTTTCTCACTGCTGCAGACATGAAGTATGATCGCCGCGTTGAATTGTAGTAGAGATCGCTGATAGTGTACAGCAAACCGTCTAAGACCGAGCGAATAAACTCCAGCATGTGCCTAACATTTAATTCTTAACACGCGTGTGTTTTGTACGTGAAATAGGAACTTTATTTATGACAAAAAAATGACATGATTTTACGCTCATAAAATCGGGAATTCGTAAATGAGGGGTTCTACTGTACCATGAAACATACATTAAATTTAGACCTAGCACACGGACTTGATTAGTACCCAGCAAAATTTACGCCACCACGAAGGAGTATTATGACCTGAAGAAGAGTGGGCCATATAAGCATTTATGCTACACGACGGCCCAAGAATACAAGTAAGATACAAGTAAAATAGCCTAGTTTGCTTAGACTGAAATTAACCACAAAGCTTCTAAAGGTTGCAAAAAGTACTACAGACCAAAATTAAATAGCATCCAGATAGCTATTCCAAGATTTGTGCAATATTTAATGTTGTTTTATACTTTGGATTTTTGATTGCTTATACTGTATAGAAAGGATTTACCTGAACTATAATTACTTAATTATAGTTCCAGTGAAACCTTTTTACTTTAAACAAGCTTGATTGCAATGTCCAGATTACCATCTCTAAATGTCAGTTACTACTTTTAAAAAAAATCTGGAGAATAACTTGAAACATCCTCATATTTTAAACCATGATTAAAAACCATAGCTGAATAGACAAAATATAGAGCAATTGAATTTAAAATTCCCAAAGCCAACTACAAACTTCATAGTCTACTGTTATTTATTATAATTTATTCAACTTCAATTTTTTTTTTCTAAAAAAAAAAAATTAATGAAATTGCTATGAGACAGATTGGGGAAATTCAGTAATTGCTGATTTTCATTTCATTTTAATATTTCATCCAAAGAACATTAAAATTCACAAACGGAAAATAACAGAGAGCAAAATACAACAATCAATTGGCCGGACAGGATTGTAAAAAAGTGAACTGAATCACTATCTAGTGGCTCTTCAAATAACATAATAGTAATAATGTTATGTTAAGAGATACATAGAATTTCACACAATCAAGACTTTCTTCAGTCATTTGGTCTAACACATTTGGAACACATAATCAACTCTGTGAGGAGAATTGCATGATGTTGTAATCTAGTAGTAATTTAGGTTAATTTGCCTTCGAACCTACCAGGTACTTTTATACTTGCACTACTGTGTGGGGAGCTGCTGTCAGACAAATTTCCTTGCCCATGGGCACAAGTAATATGAAAAGAAAGAGATTGAACCCCCAACCTTCAAGGTTAAGAAGCTAAACTACAAATGCTACAAACAATTTTATATTAACTACCTGCCAGTTTATGAACTAAAATATACTATATGGTATTATTTATTTATGTCTGTTAATTAGCAAAGAAAAAGGTTTCTTTTTATAAATTTTATTTGAATTGAAAGTTAATCCCTTAAATAAATATAAAATATTCATATTAAAAAGCATTAGTAACAAGATAGTACTGTATACTCTAATGAAATCATTACGTTTTACATTCACTATACTCTATGATATCTATACTACATGAACACACACTCTAAACTGAGTGAAGGCTTTTCTAATTCATATAATTTATGGTCAAAGTGAAGTTTACAACAAAAAGCTTTGAATTTTGAATTATATAAAAAATAATACCAAATTTTAACAAATATTCCCAGTGAGACAGTCAAGAACAAAACATTGTACAAGGATAGGAAAAAAGTAAAATAGAGAGGTAGAGAATAATCCATGAAAACAAAAATGTGAACTTGAAAGTACAAGATTTGGAAAGTCTTGTACATCTTACATGCAGATTAAAAAAAAAAATTGTATATGAACAGGAAATAGATATTGGGTATTGTATTATATAGATGTGAACATCTGCAACTAAACCCTCAGATTAGCTCAGCATTTACTGAGATTTATATTACAAGTTCAATAAATTTTAATGATGTTATCGACTTCACTACTTTAGGTTATATAGACAGCATGCAAGATATTATCAAGGGATTTCTATATAATGCATAGCATTTGCATACTGATGACTGATCACCATGGAGATGACATTACATTCAATGTGGTGGAAGCTAATCTGACCTACACAGGAAGTGAGGTCAAGAAAGTGAAGGTGAGATATGATATTTCACTTACATGCTCACGTTCATTTTTCTTTCGATTGAGTTCATCAAGGCACTGTTCATATTCCATTTGAATCGAATCTCTTTTTTTAAGTACATTCTGGAAAAATATACAATAGTCAATAAAATAATAAAATAAAATAAAATCTGGGGCACATTGTCATAGACAAGAATAAGAGCAATTAAATGAAGACACATTTTAAACCAGATGACAGCTGCAATTGAACCTAGAAAATGCAACTGTCAGGAATGTGCAGTAGAAATAAGTATATTCATCATAATCATCTAAAAAAAAATCAAAATCATTAATACAGTTATCATATTGTTATAATTACAATGGTAGATTCAAGGGGAACCTAGTCATCACTCTCCCCCCACCCAAAAAAAAATTTGCAAAATTATTTTAAAAATGAAGAAAAGAAAATTATATTCCAATTTTCAGTCTGAGATTGCCACGTCCGGCCCTCTAGATGTTCCATTGTTTTTACCTAAACCCCAACCATAGACCTTCCACCTGTGAAACTTCCTCCCTGGGCCTACTCTACTTCAATTTTCTGGATCCGTCACTGAATTATTATTACCTTCATCATCATTACCAGGCCAAAAAAAAAAAAAAATGTATTGTCTATTATAGCAAAGTGATATCTGGGTCAGTTGGTCAGGCATTTCTTTTCTTACACCATAGGCTGGTGACTAACTTAAAGTTCATGGTTGGTAAGATGGTACCAAATTAGGAGGGTCTCGAGTTAGAGTGCAAACTGTGTTAATAACAATATACTTCCTCAGTAATTAACTGTTTTGTTATCATTTTTATTATCATTAAAATACATAATGATAAAGGAAATATATCTTACTTTCATCGCGTCAGCATATAAAACATACTCCTTAATTACACTTCCAAAGTCATCTTGTTGGACTACATTCTGAAAAGCGGAAATATCAGGAAATGAAGAGAAAACAGGGAGATAGCGTTTGACGCAGCAAAACACGGTTTAAATTCAACTTTGAGGTCGCAGGTACAGATCTCATGCTGTGCATTTTGTGTCTGTCTAGGGATTTTTTCTATTTATTGTTCCACCTAGGAATATAGGTACCTGGTAAGAAGTTGTTACATTGAAAGTTATTTGTGTGTGCACAATCTACTCTATTGCAGTACAATAGGACCCCAATCCGAAAATGTATATTATCTAGTTTCTGTATGGCACTTGTTTTTTAAATGCAAATGTGATTGTTGTCTTTCTTCTACTGGGCCCTGTGGGAAAACAGTAGATTTCCTACTGAACATGTTCTCTAGTATAAAGAATAAAGAAATGGCTAATCTGGTGGTAGCCACTGTGTGTGTGCTGAACCATAGAGATTTCTAGGTCCCTGGTTCAATTCCCATCACTGCCTCTCCTCGTGTTTCAGCTGGAGGGCTGAAATACAAGTTACAATAGCACATCGCCTTTTAGATGAGATGTTTAAACTGTTGATTCCATGTGCATTTATGGCCCATGTGCACGTTAAAGAATGCAGTACACGCTTCGGAAAAAAGTAGGGTATTGTCTCCCGGTGTGCTGCCCAATCACCACCAGAAGGACCCCACTGGAAATAAGTCTTCTTTTATACTTTTGTGGGCTACCCTTGGTGTTTACACCAAATAAATCCAATCCAATCCACTGTGCCACTTTTAAAATTCTTGGATTTAATGATTGAATGAATACTAAGCAATTTGTAGAGCTCCGCATAGTACACTATAGGAAAATTATTATACTTAGGTTAGATTTAATGCTTGAAAAAATTTCCTGAGGGCATGCAAGGCCTCAAGGAAAGATTTGAATGCATTAAATCTAACCTAAGTATAATAATTTTCTTTTAGTGTACAATGCATGCTCTACTACTAATTGCTTTACAAGTCAATCGCCGTCTTTTAATTTTTGTTTAATAAAATAACCAACTGTTGTAGCAGTCATCGGTTGCTATAGTGATAAGATCAGTATACTGTGCGTATTTACAATTAGCTGTGCGTCTGCTGATTTGTGTTCCTACGGTACGTACGCGTTAACTACAAATCAGCAGTACAGTACGGATACGGTGAACTATTGTGATTCGTATTGTGTTAGAAAGAACTTGTTTGTAATGATATTTTGATAGCATTTGACATTTCTTTGACATTTGTCAAAGAAATACACATTTCAGCATTTGAGAGAGAATACCCTCACTGATCTTTTTTGTCGGTGCATGCAGACAGGTAAAAATTGTGCAATGATTTCATAACTATGCTAGGCTACGGCCTAGTAGGAGCAGGCCTCGGTGGCCTCCTGCCTGGCCGTACATCTAAATTTGTTCCTTGAGTCTTTAAAATAGTTCTAGAATATTAATATTAAACGTTCAGTTTGTTTTGTTTATGAGGGTCCATTGAGTCAATGAATTCCTTAATTGTTCATACTTAACATTGAATTTGAAGTAACTTTCTTCGGGTCCTCATTAAGCTTGTTTTACGAAAGTTATTTTCAATTACAATTTAGTTTTCATTGCTATGCGTGATGTCTCCGCGGTGATGGAAAAATGAGGAATTTTTTTTTTGCACAAACTTAAAAAATCAAACCAAGCGTCCACTAATTGAAAAATTATTGGACTGTGGGGGATAGGCAAATAACATTGGGAGTTACAGTGACGGTGACTTAATAATGTTAATGTCTATATTAGCATTTTTACATTAAAAGCATGTTACACCAAGTAAAAAAAGTAGAGGCATTGACGTTCTGCATTGCTCTCTCATTGGCATAAAATTCATATTAACATTCAACATCATTTTATTGTCAATATCATAATGCAGTGTATTGAATTTTTTTTCCTCAGTGGAAGACACCAAACTACAAAGATACAAAAAATAATGTCAAGATTTTAAATAAAAATGAATTGTAAATAATGAAGTTCATATAAAATGTAACAAATAATAAAAGAGATAAGGTAATTTACCTCTAATCTGGTGAAGTTGGCACATTTTTCAAGACACATGGCTATACTGTGCAGAATATCAGCAACATCTGTTTCAGAATCAGACCAAAGTTCAAAGGACGGGGCAAAGGCTGCGATCTCAGTATGGTACTCTATAAAAAATTTTATAAAAACAAATTTTTAGAATAAATATTTTTTCTGTTTTATTTAGCTATATAATTTAACCTTTCCTGAGCATGTGAAGGCCACCTTACCCCAGATTGCATGCTGCTTTCACTCATTATGAAGTTTCGTATCAATTTTTTTTTTTTTTTTTTGCTTTCCAAAAGGGGGCCTGGGGCGGCCCGCCTGCCCCCCCCCCCCCAACAATCTGCACCTACATATGGGGGTCAGTTTGGTGTAAGATAGGTGCGATATTGTTCCTAAATTCCTATTGTGTAATGGACAAAGAAGTTGGTGATCTAGTAGCTCTAGTGAATTCCTCATAAAGGGATCAAATAAGTTATAAACAAACTTTGCTAAAGGTCAATGTACAATTTTTATGCAGGTATACATAGACATGCAAAGCTACTGTCTGTCTGATTCAAAAATAACTATTTCAATTTATGTGTCCTATGATTTTAAATTCTTACCACTTTGTTCCTTAACGATTCTCTGTGAAATTCTATCTACTGATCCAATTTTTTGTCCAAATTGGTCAACATAGTCTGCCATTGTCGTGAATTCTGGACTGCGATTTTTGAGACGATAAGATTCAGCAGTAGTTTTTACCGAACTTCCAACACGACTTACAAGTCCTTTTGCGTATCTTCTATGAGTTTCAAGTTCCTGTAAATATCATAAAATTAAGTGACTGAAATATACAATATTTAGATTTTAATTCACTACACCAAAAAGAATGATTCAATGCCTATAATGTTCCCAAGATATTTCAAAAGGATCTGCGCACATGGTAACAGGGTGGCACACATATTCACTGTCTGTGTATCAATAACCAAAAGGTCCACTGATTATTCTCAGATAAGATAGTATAATACATACTCCAAGTATCAAAATGCATGCAATGCAGGATTTAATATTTGTACTGACTCTTAGCAATTAAGGTTTGTACTTAGTCATGAGAAAGCAACAAATCTTGGTAGGGAATTATCAAAACAGATATCCCTTACTGATATTCAGTAGATTTTTTGTCGGTGAATCAGGTAAAATAGTAATATACTCCCTAAGGCAAGATTAGTTTTATACTTTCTGATGATTTCAAATAGATAAAATTTTATATTTGGCCAATTAGTGAACCCGCCGCCATGAAAAAATTTCAGAAAAAAATAAAAATTTATCTTTATTTTTATTATGCCCGCGGTTGTCTTTTATCTTTCTTCCCAACTAAATAAATTTAAAGCATTTAAACATCCCATTACTACACTATTTACATTTTTTCCTCCTCTGGTTTTTGAAACAACCATTTGTTAAATAGGAAATCAAAATTTTATTTGTATTTTTTTTTCTGCCCTCCTCTGACAATCTTTAAAAAAATAAGTTTGCGAAACAAGGTACAGTATAAAAAAAATCTCGCTTAAGTTAAAAAAAAGGATATTTAACCATGCATAACATGATGTTAAGACACTCAAAGCTGGTGAAAATAATGGAAAAAAAAAGGAAAGATTAGTCCAGAATTCAACAAGCATGCAAAAGGTATAAAGAGAAGACTTTGTAGATAAAGACATATAATTTTACCCATGCCTTAGCCGTGAGAAAAATCTGGAAATTTTCGTTGAATGACAAAGTTGGGTGTTCAGCAATTCGGTTCAGAAATGAATTTAAAGCTTTTTCTCGCATGTCTAAGAACTCGTTGCTAAATCGGGAAAGCCGCATATTTGTTTTCTCTGGTAACGGCTGAACAAAAAGACAAAAACACATTATAAGAAATCATTAAGTTATCATCCTCTTCCTCTTAAATATTATTCTTCATTTCTTTATTCCCATCATCTGCCTTCTGCTCTTTATCATCACCATTATAAGCATCAAAATCCATCACCATCTTCCCTCTTCTATTTATCATAATTCCCATCATATTTTTCCCTCCTCATCACTTTACTTAATACTGTACACTCACTGCATCATACGACAGTCGCACGACGAATCCATATTTGCTTTCGGCGAGCGATAAATGACGCAACACCGTCTGCTGATTGTCAGTGGCAATCTGAATGGATCCTCATTAAAAAGACGATCCGTTGGGTCCGCGTCTTCGTGTGCGTTTCGTCGTCGCACGCTGTGAGTAACCGGCTTTTAAAAACTTACTGGAATAAAATGAGTTGGATGATCATCAGTAAGCTTCTGACGGAGCCACACAAAATCCTGAAAGCGCCTTCTCACGGCAAACTCACAATTATCAAAACAGCCTCTGGTAGTCTAAAAAATCATACAAAAAAAAAATTCATAAAAATATACAACGTCAAATCAGATTGTAAACGTCAAGAAAATTTGAAAATTTCCAGTTTTAAATGTCAGTAAACTTGAATATGCAAACAAAAATATGAAATCAATTTACTAGTGAAAGGAATTAACGAGGTCATACAATGGTCACCTCTAGATCAAACCAAATGGATATTTTGAATTATATAATAATATTGATATGATAGGCCTAATTGATGTTTTGATAAGAAAAAAATTAGTAAGTATCAAATTGGAATAAACTGTATAAAATATAAGTCAAAATACTACCTTCTATACCTTTTGCTATTTTCATATTGAAATTTTTCTCTTTTGTGTTTTATAGATTAACTGATATTTTTTTGTAAGGACATGAAATTTCAAAAATAAAAGATGGATGAATGAATGAATACCTTAGTTGTAACTCTGTATGTAATGTAGACTTCAAAACTGCCTGCATGTTTTTCGCGATTATCAACAGTTACAAATAAGTCTTTGGTGTCAACATCAGCTGCCTCGATCTTGAAGGATCCTGCAAGAGCATTTGTTGATGCTGCACTCTCTCCACCTGGTGACCTGCTGAAATTCTAAACAATAATCACTCTAAAATTAATTATGCATTTAGTTTAGATATTTCTATAGTAGGCACCCATATTATTTAGTGCGAATTCATGCAGTTTTCAGAAGCAAACAAGTATTCGCACTTTTTATTTTACCAAACAAAATAAGAGAAAGGAAAGTGAAATCCCTCCTGCAACACGCTCTTGTCAAAATATATTGACAAGAGCAAGTTGTCAATAACGAATTCCCTGCATATATTTACGTCAGCTGCAGTATTTAACCACTCCCAAATCACAGTACAGGAATAAAACTTCGCATAATCAAAGCAACAGGCGTGGGTTTAACAATGTCACGCTATTTATGATTTAAAGTTTCAGTGCTAAATGTGATTCTCAGTAGGAAAAAATGCTGCAAACAGGGTGAGAACACTGTATTAAGAAACAAACAATAAACGAGAAACAAGAAGGCAGATACCATACTACAATATGGCATCCAGTGTAGTAATATTTATTCTACAAGTACACTCCAATCTATCTTATATGCATGGCAGAGGTCCTACTGTATCTCTAATAATAATAATAAAGTTCTTAATAACCGTTCTGAATCAACAGAACAAGTGGCTGTCATTGACTACCACAGTAGTTGAAAAGCTTCAACAGTGCAAAACAAAAGAAGGTCCCTAGAGGGGGAAAATATGTTAGCTGACCTTATATTTCACTTTCATGTTCCTTGTTTTTGTTTTCTATTTTAGTATTAGCTAACCGTCTAATTACTTACTTATCTTCTCTTTTACTTTCATTCTATGCTTCCTTAACGTTCCGTGATTCCTATTTACCTACCTTTTCTTTCTTTAGTCTCCCTTTTCCTTTTAATTACCTTTTCTTTTCTTTCCTTTCCCCTTTCTTTCTAATGCCTCCTTATGCATTGCTTCTTTAGCTTAAATTACCTTTGTAATATTTCCTTATCTTTCTTCTTTTTCTTTGTTTCCTATATAACCTTGATTTTTCTTGTATTTACTTTATTTCTTTTCTTTCCTTTTCATTTCTTATGCTTTTTCATACATATCTCATTTTATTTTATCTTATCGTTTCTTTCATATCTACAGCAGTCTCCAAACGAGGTTCTCCTCCGTTGCTCTTCCCAGAGCAACATTGGGTCAAAGTCAACCCTTAGTTGATGATATCATTTAAAGGTTATATTACTCCCCTTCTCAAAAAGAAGTATCCCACTTCTTCAGTTATATAGTGATCCATGTCCATTCGCTTTTTACAGTATATTCGGTAGTGTGCTTATCACAATTAATACCAGCAATTTTACCTTCCTAAATTGAATCTCTGTCTGCTATGGGAAAACATATTTATACCCCCTACAATTTTACCTTTTCCCTCACCACACTTGCCTACCCCCACACCCCAGATTTAAAAATGCTGGCACCTTCTATGGTGGCTACTTGTAGTCCATTGCCCAGTAACAGATCTTTAGCCACAGCCAAAAAACTAATGCATGACATTTCAATAATATTAATAATAATAACATGGATGGGTAAGGCAAAATAATAAAAAATACATGTTTCTCATTCGGATTTTCTAAAAAAAAGGAAGGAGGAGGCACTTGATATTCATTATTTTCTTTTATTTTGTTATTATGGTTTTTTGTTATTTTTTCCCCCAAGATCAGATTGTCATGTTCCACCAACAATATACATACGCTTGGATGACCTATTTAGGTGTAATGTATAATATAACCACATAAAATAATGCAATAATAATCGAGGCCTAAGTCTAGCGCTTCGGCAATGTCGTACGATCATTTTCATCGCCAGCCTGTGAGATTGGAAGATCACATGGGCGGTCGCGCATCGTAATGAATGTGGGCATAGCTAGGCCATCGACTAGGCCTAGTCATTGTTTTTCAGGCATTAAAATTCACAATTATCATATGTGAATGTTGGAGAACAATATGTATAGGCCATGAAGACTTTTGCGCACGATGTATTTACCGAAAAAAAGGTATTTACTGGGTTTTTTTGGGATAATTTTTTATCTCTTTTTCTGAAATTAAAAATTAATAAATAACAAAAAATAGGAGGCAGCTCCAAAAAACGGAAGCGGGCGGGGACGAGAAACATGTATTTTTTTTAAAATAATAATAATAATAGTTGGATTTGTAGAGTGCAGTATTTAGGAAAAATAAACATTGAACAAGACTTTTTTTTGTTTGGTCTTCCTTGATCTTGATAGCCTAGGCCTGGCCTAGCCTAGCTAGGCCAACGGATACACGAATCATGACACATAAAAGGCCTAAACCTAGTAGTAGAACTAGTCCTAATTATGGCCGTGTGGATAGCCTAAACTTCTCGTCTGGTCTAGTTTAGGCATACCTTGCTGGCTTAGCCAGGCCGATCCTGATCTAGGCGGCTAGCTAGGCCTAGTTGCAGCAGTCGTGCGCGTGGCAGCCAAACTAGGCCTAGGCCTACACAACAAAACACTGCCCTATCATTAGTAAAATGAAGAACGACGATGAAATATTACAATATGCATAAAATTAAATGAATTTACCACAATGTCTACTTCCTCATCTTCGTCCTCATCATAAGATGGCATTCTCAAAGGATCTTTGAATCCATCCCCACCATCTTCACCAGTAACTCCAGCGCTACCATCCGCCATGTTGACGTTGAACAGAGGTTACTGGTCCGTTTCTACAACCATATCTTTCTCTTTCCTCTAATCACCCGGCAGTCCTGTGGTCGTGGTAGCCTACTATACGCTCGAGTATCGTGTTCGCTCGTTTGATAGTTTTCGAAATCAATCAGGGCTACTAGAGGATGTCTAATTCAGGCGCAAGTGGTGGACAAGGTTCATAAATTATTATTAATAGCAATACTTTAATAATTAATGCTAGTTTCTCTTTAAAGTAAATTAACTGTAACGATTCCTCTGGGTAGGCCTCCTAGTCCCGTTAATTAGGTTAGCTAGGCCTAGTGCTACAGTACCAGGGAGTTGTTTATAGTGTTCCTGGTCCTACCAACCATCCAACCAAACTCCATTCCCGCCTGCCTAGTAGGCTAGGCTAGCCTCTAGTAGTAGTAGTAGGCGCACTTACAATAGGTAGGCACAGGACAGTCCTACTGTATTTATTTTGAGGACAGATGTGGGAGGTTTTGAGAAAATCAGAAAACTGTTATGTTATTTATATAAATAGGACTGGACGCACGGAGAAATAAGACTTTTTTTGTTTAGCGAATTCGTCGCCCCCCTCTAAATGATGATTTTGAATAAAAATACAATTTTATATTTGGCCAATTAGAGCACCCGAGTCCAGAAATATGGAAATTTCAGGACAAAAATAAATGATTTTCCTTATTTTTATATGCCTGCCGCAGCCTTGAATCTCCAAAAATAAGATACTGTATGTATACATTTCTTTCTAAATGTAAATTTAAAGCATTTAACCATCCCATAATACTACACTGTTTACATTCACCAATAAAATGTTATTTTTATTTTCTCCTTCGTCTGGATGTATTTGGCAAGAAAACAAAATTTTATTATCATTTTTTTTTCGCCCTCCTGACAATCTTTAAAAAATAAGTTCGCGAAACAAGGGAAGGAAGTATAAAAAAAAGTCTAGTCTAACTGAAGTTAGAAAATTGAGTCAAATTAGGGCCAGGCTATTTATATAAATTAAAATATAATTAATAATATTAAAATATTCAAAACGTTGCGACCGAAATTTCTTTTAAAATATTACTTTGATCTAACTGTATTTTTATCGTTATCTCAATAGTGATCTCGCCAACGAAAAAATCTGATTTTGTGAATGCTTAAAAATTAATATGACCAAAATAGTCAATAATAGGTTTTAATTAGTGGTGTACTTGGAACAAGATTATTATTATTATTTTTTTTTTTTTGTTGCAGAGCAACAAAATTTAACCATACTGGAGAATTTAAGAATGAAGAAGATGCGAATGATGATGCAAGGACCATCTAACAGGCTAGTTGTCTTTTTTGTTCATGCCTGTTTAAATTAATTCAATTATCTTATCATTTTTTCCTCTTAAGGATAAAACACATGGTACTACATTACCTTAAAATTTGCAAACAATATCTGGTGTTTTGCCTTTCATATGTAAGAGTAATTATTTAGTATGTATATTTTATTTTGCAGTGCTAGTGGTAGCAGCGGAAGTAGTGGAACCTCCAACCAATCAAAGATTGGTTATCCAGGACGATCTAGTGTACGTATTTCAACTACTCAAGTATTACTACCGTACACATACCAAGTCCCGCTCATTCGGCGTGAGACTCACACATTTTTCGTCTGCCTCACGCTCGAGGACCAAAATCTCACTCATCACAATGTAATGCATATTATAAATATATATACTATTCGTGACCTTTGTAACCCTCTTACTAAAAATTCTCCATCTACAAATCACCATAAGAAATGGGGGGGGGGGGGGTGAAATTGTTAAAAGTCATGCACCTGCAAATTGAGAATGTCTTACTAATATTGTGCTTCAACCTGTTACGAATACTTGAAAATGCTAATTCTATGAGGGAATGGAGCATTATTATTATTTTGTTTGGATCAGCAAAATAGTATTTTCAGTCTGGACAACAGGGTCTATGTTTCTCGGATAGGAAGCACATTTTCTGGTCCCTGTGTATAAACTCGCCTAACTTTGATGCAATTGAAATTTCAAAGGGGGATAGCTTTACACTGCATCAATAACTGTTACCGACTCCTGGGCTTAATAATGAGTTTTTTTGTTTTTTTTCTTGTTAGGTAGCCTTTTCATATTCATTTATCCTCGTTTCTAACAATTAGGTTTCAAGAGATCCATCCGAGGCCCATCATTCGGCTATGCAGCAGAAACAAGCTTTACAGGTAATTTCGCACAAGCACCCAAAACGTTAAAGAATTTTTAACATTTTCAAGTTTTTGCATTTAGAAGATATACTGTATTAAGAATTTCTGTAAAATATCAATTACTAAGTCTAAGGAAAAAGTATATTAAAATTATTTTTATTGATTTTGGAATCTTTAGCTGTTTTCTCAAAACCTACTGTACATGGCTGATATCCAATCAACTAAATATTCATAACTTCGTTAATATTCAACCAATTATTCAATTCAATTCAATTTTGAATATTTCCGACAAACAGCTGGTTTTTTGCAAGAGCCGGTCACTATTAAGATGATGGTGATGATTGTAGAAATATTGATGATGATAATGACTGTAATGATGAAAAATGAATGATTATATTTTTTTTCTTTTTGACAGCATGCCCAATCCAATTCATTTGCATACTATGTGACCCAGGACTCATCGTTTGGAAACCTTATACTTCCTGTTATACCAAGACTTCCTGCCGAATGAAAACAGTTGGAAATGTTATGTCACGATGAACACAGGAAAAAAAATTGGGAAGTTGTTGTTGCCTGAAACTGTAGCAGGACAAGTTAATGGTGAAGATGAATACCAAGTAAAATGCCACCAACTGTCAGCAGATTTTGGGTCACATTGGGGGCATTTGTTACCAACAGCTGCTTGATGCAAAGTGTCTTAGCCCTAACACATGCAATACTGAGGGTGATATTTGTTATAAGGCATTGTAAAATCAGAGTTAAGTTAGTTAAATACAGATTTTCCTATTCTGATTTCAATTCACTTCAATTTATTTCATTATTTCAGTCACAATATACAATTGCAAATTATAGTATAATAATACAAAATAAGTAATCCCTTTGAGTGGTGGCTCCAGAAATTGACCAAAAGGGGGGTCCTGAATCAAGGGGCTAACTAGATCTGCCTCGGTCCCAGAATATAAATTCCTGGTTGGGTTCATGGAGAAAGTTTTTACGGCTTAGTATGGCCCAAAATTGTGATACAGTATTAGTGATTGGCAATCAAAATATAAATAACGTTAGGCAAATTAATATTTCTGGCTCGTCCTGGCGTCCAACAACGGTGGGTGGGGAGGGGCAGGCCTGGCAAAAGCGAATACAGGTCAGTGTTACTGATTGAACAAACTCTGTGCAATTTATGATTTATGGTGAACCTTTTTGAAATAATAAAATATTTCACCGTGCATTCTGAAAAGTCTACAAACAAATCTTTGCCATAGTTATGAAGACATTGTAATCTTTCTTTGTATTGTTATTTTATGTTTGTACATCTATTAAGATTTTTAGAAATTAATAGAATATTTTTATATTTGTAGTCAAGCCTAACTGATTTAGTCTGAATATATTTTGGTATGTTTCAAATGCAATTACCACTGGAGGAAATTATCAGTTTTTATGAAAAAAATATGAATAAAATTTGCCAACATAATTTTGTTGAAAGACAGATTACAGTACTACCATTAAGTAAAATTAAATGTAACACAAATAGTAGATAAATAATAGAATAGAAAAAGTGACATACCAACAATTTTACTATAATATATATCACTAGTCAATCCAACAAAGAGGAGATTAAATTAATATTGTTTATTATAAATTGTATCAAATGATTTAGTCAAATGTAGTTATAATTTCTTTGGCAACCTATACAATATTGATATTATGTCAAATGTCAAATTTGTTTACAAGACCTAATATTATTTCCTTTCCCAAAAGGCATTCTTTTGAAAGGAAATATACATAAGGAAAAACATTTTTGTTATACCTTGTTTTAGCAAACCTGCTGCCTGCCAATAATGATGATTTCGAATAAAAATAAAATTTTTTTTTTTGCCACATTAGCGCACATGCCACCACAAAAAATTTGGAAATTTCAGAAAGAAAAACAAATTTACTTTATTTTAATTGCGCCCTCTGCTGCCTTGAAATCTCTAAAAATAAGATATGATATTTCTTCCTAATTGTATAAATTTAAAGCATTTAACCATCCCATTACTACACTGTTGACATTCAAATAAATAAAAATTCATTTTCTCGTCCATCTGGATGTTTTTGACAAATCTTTGCTAAAAAAGAGAACAAAATTATATTTTTTTTTTCTACCCTCCTTTGATGATATTTCAAAAAAACAAGTTTGTAGTGAAACAAGGTATAAAAAAAGCCTTACCTAATGGCAAATGTATTATTTCAGTTAAAGTGATGCCATTCTCTTTCATCCTGACCGGATGAAAATATATTATGCTATACAAATATGCCTACATTACATTTGATGTACTAAATCATGTCAACTTTTGCGAACAGATATAAAACCATTCTGAGATAGTCCCTGAATACACTAAATTATGATGAAATGTGCAAATACTTATACTGTATATGAACCATGTTTGTAATATGTTTGAAGATAAATACAAATTCTACAATTTGTATATGATTAGTCATTTTTGGTAAATTTATTTCAGTATGATCAGATTTTGTCATTTTCATACCTTTAAAAAATTATGGTTTTCATCTGTGTGATTTTCATACCTTTACAAAATTACTGTTTTCTCACAAACATCTGATGTATCTGAATTTTCAGGTGATCCCTTCCAAGTTTTACAGCCTACATTATCAAATGCAATGTTTATTTCCAAGAATCTTTCTCAGTTAATTACAAAATGCTTATATCCATCACCACCAGCTTAATGATGCCACATAACAAGCTTAAATTATATGATTATACTATATATCCACTCGTTATCTGCTTAAAGAGAGAAGTTGCAAAAAAAAAACAGCCTAATTGTAGAACATTCAGTTTTATATTTCCGTTACTTTTGATTCTATATGTCAATGTCAATATTTTTTTATTTTTTTATTAAAGCATCTGAAGCTTTTATTGAGGTGCAGATTCAAAGCTTTTGCTGATTTTTACAGAATTTTTACTACTACATTTATGTCTGTGAAGTTGGTACCTTATTCAAACTAAATTAAAGGGACAGTTGCAAAATATTTTAAATTGTATACTTCTGTATTATTATAGTGTTTTGGTCACTTTTCTTGTATGAATAGAATACCTTTTCGAATATATGACCTCTTTTATGGTGGGAAATGTTAGAAGATCAAGGGTCATATATCATAGCCAAAATATAAAATATTTTGCGACTGTCCCTTTAATTTAGTTTGAATAAGCAACTAGGAACCAACTTCACAGGACTACAGGTCTTCCTCTAATTAAAGACCACTTTTCTGTGGCCCCAAATTAAATTTTTTATTCTAATTATAGAGAATAAAGCTGCTAAAGATCATGGAAACCCAGATCCCAAAAGTGGTCTTTATTTGGAGGGAAACCTGTAGTACAATAATGTGTAATGACAATGTATGATGCATGAAAATAACAATGTTAGTGAAAAGCAATGATTATTGCATTATATGGATAAAAATAAATAGCGACGTCATTTGAATGCGTGAAAACATTGAATATTGAGTATTAATGTCAATAGATAAATGCGTAAAAGCTGGAAGTAAAACAAAATTATAATGATTGTGTACCACAGCGTCAACAAGTTTAATAGCGTATCTACAAACACGAGCAAAGCAATTTTTGCTACAGCACATAAATGATACCTCCAACACAACTTCAGAGTCTAATGATGCATTCACACCGAATCAAATTTTTTGGATCGGAAAGCGATACCGAACCAATCAGAAAATCAAATCAATATGTAGGAATAAGGATGCTGGCGTTCAGCGCATCGGATATTACACGGTCCAAATTTTGGTTCGAATCCAATGTGAATGCACCTTAAATTATCAAAAATAGAAAAAAAAAATGTAAACTATTTTACAGTTGAATCAATAAGTTCGCTTCCATTAAGCTTTGCTTAAACAATGTTACAACGTTTACAATAATTTCTAATACAAATAATTTTACACAAATGTACACTTAAGTTTTGTTTGAACAGAAAATGGTCATTCTAAACAGATTAGAAATTACTATAAAAACTTAAGTCTTCTAGTAGAACTATCATAAAAATTGGTGAATTCAACAATTCCTAGAGAGATGTATTATAAATGGAAACATTTAGTAGCATTTACACACAATAAATGCAATTGGTGACTCTACAATCCTATTCTTCATTTATTTCATATATTTATTTTAAAGACAATTCCTTGGGATCCCAAAAGCAACAAAGCTGCGAGTCTTGTGTTCCGTAAAATTGAAAAAATGACTTGAATTTTTCCATGTGGACATGCAGTGGTGGATCCAGAATTGGAGACCTAAGATCTGAAGGGGGTGGAACTAATGGTCAAGAGAGGAAGGTTTTGGGTGTTCCTTACATATTGTGGGGTCCAGGGAATGCGCCTCAATATTTTAGCCATTTTAATCTCTTGTAATGATTTGAAAGATGGTTAATGATTTTTTGGCTGCTGCAAGGAAGAGCGCCCACTGGACCCACCACTTACATGACCAAAAAAGGGTATTTGATTTATTATCTTTGACTTTTGTATGTTCAATTCTACTTAAATGAAAAAACTGATTGTATTACATCAATTTTTTAATTCATTCTTAATCACAATCTAAATTATTATCACACACATATCTTACTAATTAGAAGACTGGACATTGATTTTATGCCCAAAAATTTATATAAACATTTATCAAAAAACATTACAAGAAAAACATGTTAACATTTTATGCATTCCAATTGGGAATAAAAAAACAAAAAAAAAAAACAATTAGGAATTCTAAGTTACTGTGTGTTGATGCAATCCAATTGGAAACAAAAACAATTTAGAATTCCAAATTATAGTATATATATTGAGGTCACTAAACCAAACACAATAAACAATCTAAATGTAACTTTGGTAACATATCCCTTTATATCATGGATTGTGACCATACTATAGCATTTTAATAATTTCAGTTTAATTTTTCAGTTTTTCTGATAAGGAATCAAAAAGACATTTTAATTAGTTTCGTAGACTAAATTATTCTAATTTAAGTAAAGACAAACATGTAAATTACATGTTATCTATATTACATTAACAAGCAAAGTACAATTAAAAGAAATAACATATCTCTGTAAATTAGACAGCTAAACATTTGAACACAAGAAAACAGTTCATAATAATCGTTACCAAATAAAAATCATTTGCATTGAATTTTCTACAATTGAATGCTATATACATTTGCCTGAATAAATAAATAATAAACACAAATTTTAATAGTTTTTTTTATTTAGCAGAGGAAGGAAATGTAAACTTAAGAGGACGAAAAGTGAGGTTAATGTGATGAATGCCAATGAGGGGTACACTTCTGATGCACACGCAGACGTTAACCTTCTATATTTTTATTTAAATAAGGTGGCATCCCGGTCTGCTGAATAAGTATTCGCCTTGTAGGCCGGAAAAGATATACTTCATAAAATTTGCGCAAATTGATTTACAAAGTGACTCGTACCCAGCACGATTCGGGGACCGAATCAGACAATTTAGCATAGCAACAAAAGTGTTAGAAAAAGCAAAGAGTCACTTAAGGTTAAGAATTCTGGGGATGCAAACATAATAAATTTAGGGAAGTAGGTCATTATTAAGGAAACCTATATTTAAAATTCAGACTATCAATCAGCAGTGCCAAGCATTCATTACATTTAAAAACACTTCAACAAAAGGTTTACAGAAAATAAGGTTTGGAAGGGCATAAAGCATACTACTGAACATCTTAATATTACAAAAGCATTATGATTTGAAATCGAAGGTATACTTTTAAAAATAATTGTCCATCAATTTTCAATAACAATAACAATTTGAAAACATCATAGGAATCAAAATTAATCTATGAACACTGTATTAACAAGTTGCATAGGGGACAATGCTTATTTACAAAACAACTTGAAACAACTAAAAAATTTTTGGTCAATATTCATAAACATTCACACACATTAACATAATTTATTCCCCAAAAATATGTACCTATTTCAATATCAAGCAATAATATTCTACCCTAAAAGAAATCTGACATGGATATGGGCCTGAAAAAGTGCAGAGCCATATTAAACAAATAATCTATCAATAAATCTGAGTCCGAGACAGAACACTGGAAAGGCTTCAAAGAAAGAGCCACTTTGTTGTTTTTTATGCTTAAACATCATTGACATGTTTAGCCCATGTTTTACAAAATAGTATTTAAATTTTGGCATGCACTAAACACAAATTTTCGGTGCCAAAATTGGTATCAAAACTGGAAATCTGATATAAATCAGAGGAATAATATGCCTGCAATATCAAACAGTATGGAAATGTATAATTATACAAATGCTATCCATGCAGTGTTAACAGTAAGTGTCTAATACCGGTTCAATATCAATCAGGTGTCCCAAGTAGGAAGAAACAACTTTTAGGAGATCAGGTTAAATGAGTTTTCCCAACATATTTTATTTTTTTGCATGGAGTAGTAAAAAAATGCATATAGTGAGTTTTCAAAAGTTTACGAAAATCGTAACGAATACGGTTACGTCAAATTTTTTTTACTGACAACCCTTCAATTTTTTTTTAGATAACTCTTCCCCTACAGGTGGATATATGTTACAACATAGGTGACACATGCCTTTTGCATGAATCACAGATCATAATCAGCTCCTACAGCATAATTCCTCAGGCACAAATGACGATAATGATAATTATGTATTCGTTATCATTTTCGTAAGTTTGAGAAAACTCCCTAATATGCAGGAGCTTGACTCGATTTCAGGGAGACACCCCAAACTTGGGACACCCGATATCAATAATCCATCAATTCAAATCAATATTGATAATGATTGGTACATTATTTCACTAATCAATATAGATATAAAAACTGATCAGTAATCAATGAATCATTCCATATCAAACCTATCTCACAACACAAGTTGCATTCATCTACCTGTACACAAATGTAACTATACCTGAATTGGAATTTTCTCCCTTTTAACAAGATTCAAAGTCTCTACCTTTAACCAAAGAGTATAGAACTATTCTATCTCGAAAACTACTACCACAAACTAGAGGGCATCCTACGAAAGAGCATAAAAGGTATTCGTATCGAATGCGTGCTGAATCTATAGAACACATGTTCTAGTTTCAAAACAATATAAGGCGCCCCTATCTTGTGGTAGAATTTTGTCTTTCGTTTCATTGCATGCATGCAAAATCAAGACAGTCAAACCAAAAGTCAAACACTTGTCAGTCACACATAAAATCAAAAAATGGAATGGTTTTTATATCATAAAATCCTGGAAGACTAACAACAACCCTATACCTCCACTTGCATGCATGGATCGAAAACACATACATAGTAAACGTAATCGTAAACCTAAATCTAAACAGGTGCAAACCTTCTTAAAATACTTCTATTTGTCAATGGCTGTTATCGTTTGATTCGAAAAATTATCTTTGGAATCAAATGAATAAAATGGCAGTGACAGCTGATATTTATATAACAAGATTTACTGTGTGATGCAATGCCGTTCAAATAACGAGGAACTTGTGTTGACTGACAGGTTGGCAAAGCCCATCCATATATCCACTGATTCTACATACCGTAAATGCTCGAATAAGCGCCGCTCTCGAATAACCGTTGCTCTTGAAATAAGCGCCGCACCAGACCATTTTTTTTTTGCTAAGCGCCGCTCTTAAATAAGCGGCGAGCCGCTTAATCAAATTTTACCCTGTGTGTAATGAAACAATGAGAAACGGGGTTTTAAATACAATGTATACAGTGTTAAAATGAATAAATAACACAATGAAGACACAAGCATTTCTTTATAAACAGTTATTTACGATGAAGTAGGACTAGACTTGCCACAAGTCTCTTATTTTTTATTATTTTTTTCATTCTGGACAGTGCCACCAACGAGAAAGTTAATTTAGAGATAGACGGAATAATTCAAAAAAAAAGAAATCGAGTATGGGAGGCCAATTAAATTAGGTATGGCGCGCACTAAGTGCAATAAAGAGTGAGTAACCTAAAATTAGGGCCTGGAACCCAGGCTAAAGTAGGACCTATGATAGGCCTACAGAACTACGGGAATATGCGAGATAGGTAACATGGGAACGGGCATGGAAGGGCCACGCCAATGTTTTTATAAGCGCTGCTCTCGAATAAGTGCCACACTGAAGCATCCAAAAATGTTATAAGCGCTGCGGCGTTTATTCAAGCATTTATGGTACATGTAATTCCTCTAGCATGAACCCACCCTCCTTGAAATTTGGCCGAATTTGTATTGATTTATAACCAAGGCAGCGGGGCTCAAAAAATTTGCTGACTAAGGGCTGACGAAAGCCTTGGCCTGGGTTCTGGAATAAAAAACCAGTGGTAAGGTTCACAGGGGGAGTTTTTATGGCTTAATATGGACCAAATTGTGCTTTTCAGACCAACAATATTAGGGAAATAATGTTATTTGACTCAGAAAATTATTATTTCATAAATTTTTGATATGAAGACCTCATCGTGGCGTCGGACAACAGTGGAGTCTAGACATTTAAGGAGGAAATTCCCCCACACCGCTGATGTCACACTGAGCTAAAAACTAGAAAATGTAAATTAGTCAGCCTGCATACGCCTACATATTAGGCTATAGATCTTGTCTAGGCCATAAAATAAAAATTGTAAAAACATTCAGTGAGAGGAGAAATCTTACACCTGAGGAACTGTCTGTCTGTGGGAAAATAAAATATAAACATTTAAAACAATTTCAAATATGACATACAAACTCCTAAAAAAACACAAAATTAATAGAGAATTAAATTTATTTTATAACTAATTCAGTAACATAACAAATACAGAATGTATGGTAAGTCATAGGACTTTGCCAGCTAACGTTGAACCTACAGAATAATGTATGCACATGGAATCATAACTCAACAAACCTCTTCATACACATATATCTTTTGTTTTAATTTTTTCTGTACAATTTATTTTCTTTTAGCAACTCGGGAACCGTTTCAAAAAATTATGTGGCTGCATACACTACAATTCTATATAAACTATTTCACATTAATGCACATGTATTTGTTTTGTTTTAACTAAGGTGCAAAAGAATTGAATTCCAATCTAACAAAACACATATTTACATCTACCACAGAAAACAATAATTAATTGAACTTTTTGAAAATTCTGTTTAAAAGGACAATAGAAACTATTTTTATTTTATTTATAATGTTGATAATATTTATAAAATATGACTCTTCCTTTAAGTTTTTTTGCAAACACTGTGACCAGAGCTTAAGAAATGTTATAACTAAGATTAGAATATAAAATATTAAGCAATAAAACACATGAATGATTTAACTTGAGTTATGAATATTCATATATTCACAAAAATCATAATATTACAGACATGAATATTTATTACAGCATTAATAGTAATTTTAATCGCAGATAGTATTAATATTTTTTACAGATATGAAAATTCATTACTCTTGCCAAAAATGAATATCAGTTATAATCATACAGAATATATGAATATTCATGACACATAATATAAACATTCATCAACTTAGAAAATATATGAATATTCATTACACATAAAATAAATATTTCAATATAAACTTACAGAATATATGAATATTCATAACATATAAAATAAATATTCATAATAAACTTGCAGAATTATGAACATTCATGACACAAAACATTCATCATAAACCTACAGAATATAAGAATATTCAATAATACACTACACATAATATAAATATTTATTACAAGAAAAAATAAAATAATATGGTCAATATGAATATAATAATCATGTAACAGATAACAGGTTACAATCTACACTATTTTTAATTGGATTTTGATGGGTTAATCGGTGAGGAAATTGGTAAAATAGAAATCTATTCAATATATAAACTAACCTACAAAAATCTTACGATATGCCTGTTCATAACAGGTAACATTTTTGGGGAAGGGTGAAATTTACAGAATATATTTATAATTTGTACAATGGATGATTAGTTAATAGTGTACTCATTAGGTATTGCTGATATATTTCTATGTAAAGATTTAATGGTAAATTGATACAACCTTTTCATCACCTTAAGTTAACGAAACCTAGGCTACGTGATATATGTAGACAAGTTAGACTTTTTACCTTAAATCACTGTATTTTATTCTTAACTTCATTTTGGAGAAATTTAGAAACTAAGGGGTGATTTACGATATCAGATATTTATTATTGTTCATCCCAGTTGGAAATTCATTGTCGTTGCTTTTGTTCTTGATTCTTGAATAGCTTTTATTCTAATATTCTAGACTGCATATGTCTTTAAATGTACTGCAAGAATAATGCTAAACTAAATGGATAAAGCTGATGGAATAAAAGGAATCTATAGAATAATAAATGAGTTATGAGAAATACATGTCAGATGAACGTAAATTATCATCTTAACTTATGGTCTATCAAATTTATCTTAATGTTCAGGAATACTAAAAAGGAATGGATGTTAATTCAAATTAGGTACCAATGCCACTACAAATTTACTGAATATCTTTTTTCTCACACTTCTTCCATCACTATTTTCTCACACTAGTTACAACAATATCTCTATATGTAAATTTCTCCCAAAAAACATGTTTTCCTCACACTCCCATACTCCATCCCAATCCGAATACTTCTTCTCTTTCCCAGTCTTCCTAACCTTCCCACATTCTTTAATCCCTTACTACACTTTTCCTCTCTTTCCCACAATTCTTCCCCTTCAGACATTCCTCTTCTTCCCTTCCCACACTTATCCTCTCCCCTCCCATCTCACAACATCTCTCTCACTCACTACTATCAGTATAATACAATATAATACATATCTAATTACTGTACAACTAACATTACTCTTTTGCAAGCTCGCATAAGTCTATGTATTGCTACTGCCCTCTATGGCCTCCGCTGGTGTTTGGTAGACAAGGAATATCTATTGCTGCTTGCAGTTGCCACTAAGTTTTCGTGAACGACTAATCTTCTTCTTCGGCTCCCTGACCTGCTGAACAGAAGGCTCATCTTCAGGTGTGTTGTCCTCAACTATATACAAAGAAAATGTGTACACAAGATTAATGAGCAATGGTACAATGGATGTTTGAGAGTATGAGTGCAGTGCTAGATTATGATTTACCTCAAAGATGCAGAAATTTAAATGAATATATGTACAATGATTGTTCTCTCAAATAGCAGTAAATAGGGCTTTTATTGTCATTGTTAAAATGATCTAACATAAAGACGAGGCTTAAAATAGCAAATCACGATAAAAAATAACGCCCGTTATAAACAAAATTGTCCAAAAATCTTCTTAAACTCGGGGGGTCATCTTATATGCTGGTCTCCTTATATACGAGTATATACGGTATGTAACAGTGGGATATGGATATAATCATATTTGACATCTGTACAGATATATAAACAGCCAGTCATGATTCAATACACAAGAAATATATGCTTTTCCCAGAAAAAAATGTACAAGTCCCACAAACAATTAATTGTTATTATCTTCTTTTATCCTCAATATGCAATTCATTCAACATATTTCTTTATTCAAAATTTGTAAATACTGTATAATCCATTTTTTATTCAACATTCTATTTCATTATTCAAAATTTGTACATATTTTATTACCCAATATTAATTCCACTAAATTTTGCTATTTATAATTAATCTATTTTTTACTAAATATAAAATTGTAAATACTTGTAAATATCTTAATCCTTTTTCTGCTATCACTGTATTAATTTTTTTATTTTTTTTAATCTTTATCATTCTCACTTTTCTTTTTCTGGTTCTCTTTTTAATTGTTTCTCATTGTCTTTTCCTCTTTTCTGTTTTGAAATTTTATATATGCAATTTGTGAATTCAAAGCAAAAAAATGCATGTTCCCACAAATGCACATGTTCCACAGATGCGCATTTTTACATTTGTTTACACTTTCATTTTGTGAAATCATAACAACAGTAACTAAGGGGCGGAGCTTAGCAGAAAGGTAAATTTAAATTTGAATGTTACCGTGGTCGACAGGTGAAGTATTGTAGAGTCCACGGTGGCTCAACTGGACGATCTTACTATCCTCGTAATAAATTTCCTCTTCCATACTCTCCTCAGATTCGCAGGGGTTGTGAAGATTCTCCAGGTAGGGGACGACAGTCATACTCCTCAGGGGATCATTTGATTCATGCAAGGGCGGCAGTGTGACTTCTTCCCCTTCCTTAGGGTGTTTTTTCTGTACCCATCTGGCAACAAGAACAAAAAAAGTAAGGTTAAAGAACCATATTCAGAAGTAAGGTTAAAGAACCATATTCAGTAAGAATTGGTTCTTTTTAATTAAAATTACTGTAGTATCTATTTTGACATGAAAGAAGTTTATATGTCAACAGACTACCGGAGATGGAGCGACTGTGGCAAGGACGACATGGAAGCAGCGGGGTTGACAGAAGAGGATGCAGTAGACAGGAATATGTGGAGCACAGCAATTCGCACCGGAAACCTCACTCAAAAGTGGGAATAAAGCCTAAACTAGGAGTCACCAGACTATCGTACTCATTCTTGGAGAAGAATCAATTAAAACGTTTTTTTTTTTATGTACATCAAGACTGTACACAAAAAGATTGTTCCCTACTGACATGCCCTTCATCTCACAGATGCTCAAGGGCTTTTGGTGCCGCCAAAATATTTATTAACACTGCGATAACCTTTTAAATGTGTTTTTGAATTTGGACTCTCCACTTAAATTATAAATAGCTGCATATCTTCTTTCCAAACTTTATGCATTGTTCATTTTTTAAATCTTTTGTTTTCATTTTTAACCATCAATATGACCTTGTTCAAGCATTCAATTTTTCCACACTCTAAGGCATTTATGAAAAACACCCGATACGCGTAGACTAATTTATCAGAAAATCTGGGCCTAGTTTTCATTGCAAAACCAAATGGCTGCTTTGAAAAATAATTGCCGAAAAACAAACCTCAGTTGTGAAGTTCATAGGAACTAGATGGATTTTTATCAACTACATAAGCAAGATCAGTAATGGTCTGGATCCAGGAATTCTAATATAGAGGGTACCAGGAATGTATTTTAACAGATTGAGGCACCTCTAACACTTGAATTTGAATACATTTTTCCTTTTTTTCGTAATTTTTTACATAATTTTAATCCACCTATGAAGACTATTGTAGCCGCACATGCTTGGTAGTATTCATAAATCACATAAACACCAGAGTTCCATTTTACATCATTTCCACAAATCCCTTACAAAGCATTATGAACGATAATGATACTTACGGATGTAGCTTTATCTTTTCAAGGTTATATCGATCCTTGGGATCTGTTTCTAACATTCCTAAAATAAGAACAAATCATAAAATATTTCAAAAAATGTAACTTAAGTACCATAAGTATACATAAAATATTAACTCTCACTACTGTAAATGTAAACTATATTTGTACTTTTATTTCATCTTGATTACAAATATTTATATGTTAGTTATTTTATCTTGGATTATTAAGGAGGTTTCGTAGCGAATGCGTACGGTTAGTGTGACAGATACGTCATCATTTTGACGTCATACGCCAGCTGCTATCTGCTTAACGTGTGGACGATATGCATATCTCACTCACTACACCTAAGTGAAAAATGCGTTAGGGAAATTTTGGATTTCTAGTAGGATGTTCGTTTATTTTTTTTTTTAAAGTGTAAAAAATAAATGTATCTTTGAATACGTATGTGTCATTTTTGTGACATTTGAAGACAGCAAATTACGATAGGATGCATCTCATTTTGGGGTATCAAAACGTCGGTGCTGACCTTGGTGGTGTCAGGATTTTGTGTAGGCCTAGGCCTACTTGTAGCCAGGCACTTTTGGGTCATAAGCAATAGGGCATATCACAAAATAACCAACACTTCTGGGCAACAAAGGGAGTATTTTTCGGCTACAATTTCCAATTTCAATTTCCAAAACCTTACATACTAATAAAACTTTGAGAAGCATGATGAGAGAAGAGAGATTATAGTCGGCCTAAGCTAAGGCCCTAGGCCGAGGCTACGCCTGAATTGTGCTGTGATTGCGAAAAACACAGAATGACTACGAACCATTACGGATAGCTAAACGTATGCGTACACATATTCGTTCACGTGCGAAACCTCTCTAGTATTATTATCGTTGGGTTGATACAAAATTTTCTGGGTATCAACCCCTGCACACAATAGATGTGTATAAGAGACAGATTTTGACATGAAAGAAGTTTATATGTCAACAGACTACCGGAGATGGAGCGACTGTGGCAAGGACGACATGGAAGCAGCGGGGTTGACAGAAGAGGATGCAGTAGACAGGAATATGTGGAGCACAGCAATTCGCACCGGAAACCTCACTCAAAAGTGGGAATAAAGCCTAAACTAGGAGTCACCAGACTATCGTACTCATTCTTGGAGAAGAATATATATATTACATTACATACCTTTTAACAAACTAGTCAGTGGTTCACCCGTTTCCTTGGGAATGGTAAACTTTCCTTTGCCAATATTTTCAAAGAGTTTATAGATGTTGTCACCAGCGAAAGGGTATTGGCCAGTAGTAATATTGTACCTAAAAGAAACACAAATTTTGCTATAAAATAACAGTGTAATTAAAAAGAATATTGAAGAAAACATATTGTAAAATTTAGAATTTCAGAATCAACAGTAAAAGGTAAAGAAGAAAAAATATTATTTTAATAAAGATTTACTACTTAACTGTTTTATTAAATGTAATTTTTAAAAGATAATAAAAAACATACATATAGTTCATATTAATAACAGTCCTCAACATATTTTAATTTTGCAATGCTAATTACTGCTAATGGAGACTTTAACTTATGTCCTACTTTTCTTTGGCAGGTCATGTATTTCAAATGAATCCAACAACCAAATACATAAATTTATATTTGATATCTGTGGTTTCAGTTTCATTTTTGATGGCTCATGTAGCAAATTGAATTGAATAAGTAAAGCCCTGTCCTGAATATCAAATTTTATTTGACAAAAAAAACATGTGACATGCCTAAATATGGTCATGATGACATCACATCATGACTATATATGGGCACACCATGACTATATATGGGCACATCATGACTATATATGGGCATACAACAGTTTGGACAAAGCTTTATACACAATGCCATAATAAATAAGATATTGTCTTGTATCCACAATTGGTGGATATATAATAGCAGAAACAAAAAAGAAAAAGAAATATAAACTGTAGAAGAAATAATAAACGCTTCATATTCGATCCAATATAATAATCACAGATTTGTATTTAATATTAAATCACATAAATGCAAGTGTTCAATACAATTCTTGAATGTCGCTCAATGTCAGATAAAATTATAGCAAATGATATACTACAGTGACTACTGAGACAATGCACCTATATTACATAAATTATCATAATGTCCATATATTCAAGCCTAGAAGAAATTAGCAAAACGAAATGTAATTCTTAAATCGCTTAAGTAGTTACCGAAGGCGTTATTATCACTCCTACAATGAGATGTGAGCAGGGACACTAAACCATTCGTGCTACTAACATTGAAGCCCATCAAATACCTTACTTGTATCAATGATAAATTGTTTTGATTGTACAACTTATATTATTAATGAGTAACAATACAATTATTAACTGTTTATTATATATTACCATTTATTTTATTATTATTAATACTTTTATTTTTATTACTACTATTTTGTTATTGGGATGTAAAGTAAGATCGACTTAGAAAATATTCAAGTCAGGCAAAGTCGACTTATTCAAGTTTAACTGTACAGTATTTAGATTCTGCACGAATTCTTATTTAAAAGTGTTCATTTGATGGAAATTGGTTGAGTATTAGTTATTAATATTTAATTCATTGAATATCAGCCAAGTAGGTTTTAAGAAAACAGCTTTCAAAGATTCTAAAATCAAGTTTAATATTAAGATTTTTATTTTCAAAATAATTTTAATATATTTTTTAGTTAGATTTAGTTATTGATATTTTGCAAAAAAATGTTCTTTAATATATCTTGTTTTATAAAATGCAAAAGCCTGAAAATATTTAAAATTCCGATATTCAAACGTTTTGGGTGCTTGTGCGAAATTAGAAATTGTGACAAACTTATGTGGGAAAGAAGAGACACGGTTGAAAGAGGATTTGTTGACTACTATACTTACAGAGTGATACCAGATGACCAGATATCTACTTTAAACCCTGAGAAAATCTCCAAGCCATTTGCGATCTCTGGTGGCTGAAAGGCAGGAGAGCCTTGGCTGGTACGACAAGTATCATCCTCAGTAAACTGACCCAAGGCCTACAAAGGATAAAGCGAAACATATACATATTCTACAGTATCCCCTGTCATTTGTAATATTGAATTTCATGCATTCTGCATTGAAATATGAAACTGTTTTGTCACATGAGTGCTACTTAACAAAAAGTGGTAGTATTATGTGTCTACAGCAGTTAAATGGAAATTTATGCTCAGTTTATAAAAAAAAAAAAAAAAGTGGGATTTATTTACATTAGCAAGTGCTTGTTACCTATTTATTCACTAACGCAATGCTATGATACGTCACCATTGCTAATAAATACCATAACCTTAATAACCATAAATAGACATTAAACAACTTGCACGTATTATGAAACATTACAAACTATTGAATTTCATTTATTTATTTTATATTAAATTAAGTTTAGTCTAAAATGCTGGAAAGATTTTTTGTGATCATTTATTCATCCTTTCTTTTGCCATTGTTCTAAGGTGTGCTGAGTTTCAGTGAAATGTACTACAGTACATGTAATAGTCGCATTATTTTTTGAGAGGCACTTGGTAGCCTGTGCTAAATCGTTTAAAATAAAACATAGGCCATGCCTATAACAATAACATCGTCTGCTACTTCCATTAATTGGTTTACTTTCAGTGTCCACATAATGTGTCTCTCTTGCTAAGTTAAACATCTCTTGAAAAAATTCACATTAGTCATCACAGAAGTGCTCTAGTCAAGAGAATTGTAATATCCATAACATTACAGATGAGAGAAAGCTTAGCTCAGTCGGCTAAACTGGCAGAAAATACTGTCTGCGCTAAATCATTGCGATCTTTACATAATATTGGTCCTCAGTTTAATTCCATCCTCTGCTCTCCTAGTATTTCAGGGTTTAATCTCTCGCTGTGGCCCTCGGTTGTGTCCATGATTATGACATTATAGCTATGGTTGTTTCTCCCAACCAGGGGTATAAGTGGGCACTAAAATTTGGAACAACAATGCACCAATTACCAACTCAAAACTACAGAACTCTCAGACCTATTTATACAATCATTTTTATTAATTTCACTTTATCGTAAGTTACAAAAAGCCCCTATTTAGTGGGGTAAATATTTCAAGTCAGCCATTTAGCCTGACCCTAGGCTGACTAAGTTTTAGCTCGAACTACGACCAAAGTTCGTTTTAAGAATACCGGGGTAACATATTATTATTATTATTATTTTATTATTGCCGATATTTATACACGCAATCTTATCTCATGTGTAGTACCTCAGCCACGCCAAGATCGGTTATTTTCAAGGTTCCATCGGTGGTCAGCAGGAGGTTGCCCGGTTTGATGTCCTTATGAATGATGCCCGTACTATGTAAATAATCTAGTCCATCTATTAGCTGTACAAAATACCTGAAGGAATACACATGAAATGATTTAATTATATGTGATATCAAATCATAACTGTTGGGTGGAAGAAATTTTAATCATTAGTTGTGGTAGTCCTGGTTGTTTATATACCTGTAGTTATTCATATATAAGCCCACCTCAGTATAAGCTCAACTTGGGAATAGCTTATCCAATTTCATGTACCAGCATTTTACCAGGCAAGAGCCAGGGTATGGTTAAACTAATTAGCTCAGCTGACTTACAACTTCAGAAAAAAAAAATAAAACAAAATTGGCTTTAAACTGGGAATGCAGTGTTGACCAGAAAGCTATTTTTTTACTTGGCCTAAGTCATTGTAGAGTATGTAAATTTCTAATATAATGGGCTAAATTTAAATGAGCTAAATTTAAATGGCTAAATGTGTTTGAGGTGGTAGACTTACCCATGTGCTTGCCATATCGGTAGCCTCTTATTTACAGAGCTTTCCAAAAGTTCTTGTATGTTACCTACACAGTATTCCATAAATATATACGTGCAACGATTGTCAAGGAATAAAAGTACAAGTTAAATCATACTATATATATAAACTTTATTTATTTACGAGAAAACAGTTGAAGACCAAAACTTAAACAGTTGAAGACCAATTGAACCAAAAACATTATAAAGTAAACTAATACTGCAAAATATTAATATAGGGAAGGTGGTATGAGAAATTAACCATAGTCATCTTCATAACTTATGTAAATTGAACCCTTCAAAAATAATGGAGCAGTCTGTTTTTTACCATAAAACCCATTTCTCATTTACCCCTCCAGCAATAATGCCAATTGCTTTTAAGTCTAGTATATCCAAATATTAAATGTTTTGGTGTTAGTGTCATTGTGAGCTTTATAATTTTTAAGGTTATTTTTGGAAGATTTATTTAAATCATTATTAGGAGATTTCAATTGAAACAATGCATATCTTTGCATGTGTGGGAGGATGTGGGTGTTTGTTTAAGTGTATGTGTGTCTAAGTACAGTACACGCTTGTTTGAATGTACGTGTATGTATGCATGTGCGTAGGTGGGAGGGGCGTGTGTGCTTGATAACTTACGAAAAGCAAAGCAATATATCTATCACTAAGAGTAGAATCAATCCCTATAGAATTACACTATTAATATAAATTTCAAACATAAATGTTTGTCTAACGCATTATCATCTACCTACTTATTCTGGCAGACCTGTTCAGTAAAGCTACGGTTCTCACACTATGCATGAGAGTAAAAATTACCATAGAAATGTGTACAGTGCCTTTTGCCCAGGAGGCTCACTCTTAAATATTTCTATACGGGGAGGTGCCGCATTTACGGGGTATATTTTCAAGGAACTGGTAGCACAAGTGTGGGAAATATGGGGGGAGTTGCAGCATTTAAGGGGTATACTTGTGAGGAATTTGTAGCACAAGTGTGGGAAATAACCGGGATGAAATTGGTAGTTAATGTCCCTGGCCTATCCTGTGTCAAAGTGCCACGATTTTCCAAACCATATTAGCGTTAATTTCAAGCTAGACTGGGTGCTAAGCCAGTAAGCCCCTTGCTAAGCCTACCTTTGGTGCAGCTACGAGATCGCGACCGGACAGAACACTTCTTGCCATTGGGAACCAGTCTATATTGGGCCCTCTCTGGCACTATTGAGTGGCCTTTTTCCTGTCATCTTCCTGAGCACAGTGCGATTTTGGTAAATGGTAGTTGAAGTCCATAAGAATTTTCAGGAAAATAGGTAGCACAGATGTCTCATGTCTTGAAGTGGCTGCAGCACCCCCCTCTCCACCACCCCCCGGTTAGTTGGTATTCAAGTGAGCTCACCGGGGGCTTTTGTCAAGAAGTAGAAAGTGCTGGCGATGTCATCAGGGGCAGATCTCTATACATGGCATTATATGTACTGAAATTTCAATATTTAGTGGCAAATTTAAGAGGAGGAAGGGGGCGGGCATGTGCCCGCCATTAGATCTACGTCTGGTTATTATTTCCCCGAGTAATTGAATCAATAAATTGGAAAATCAGCAGAAGGTACAACCTACTCCACACCCTGGTTTGTACCTTGTTGTGCTGTAATAGATTCTGCAAAGACTAATTCACACAACATCCTACGAGGTACAATAGACTGATTCGGTGATGTTTGTTTACAGCCGGTCACGTGACATAACTTGGGTATACCATGGAAAACATTAAAGTGTAATCAGTGTGAAAGTATAAGAAAAGGTATTGCTATATTTTTTTCAAAAACAACCTACCACTGTTAACGTGAGAAATAATTTGAAAATGAAAGTGAATACGATTGTTCAGAATAGTGTTTATTTACTTATCCTAGCGTTCTCCTAGCATTGTATGCTTTGAAAATTAAGTAAACCTTTGCCAGCCTAAAAATCATAGCGTAGTTCGCAGGTCATAAACACTTGTGCATACCTAAACAGGCCGTAGGTGTGCAGGGGCCTAGGCCTAATATTTGTAGAAAAATCTCAATGTTTGCGGCCATTATCTTTTGGACCATTAGTAAACCCTTAAGGCAAAATTCTCAAGTTCAATTTCCAATCAATTTGGTATAGTTTGCTGGGAATTACAACCTTTACAGCAATAACATAGGACAAACACCGCCATGCCAGTCCACTGTTTTATACATCCAACACCCAAGTTAGGTCATGTGATGCCCATCACTGAATCGGTCTATTATATCCACTACATACTGTACCTACAATAGTTAATAAATCGAAAATTAAATACACCTGCTAGTGGTGGACTGTCAAAGAACAGTACAAATTAGAAATGATTATGCTAATACACAGATAATCCAAAATGTCATCGTCTAAACTCATTAGTTCATCACAAACTTTGCGACTGATACAAATTTCAATGGTAGAAATATGGTACAGGCTTAATTAAAGATCAACCTTTTCTTTATACAATTTTTTGACCAGATACTGTGGTACACGCGCTAGATAAAGCAGCCTATGCCTCTGCATACATATATAGGCCCTAGCTAGGAGTGTAGGCTTTTTTTGGTGATTGGAAAATTAATTATGAAAACGTCAGCCATTCATGTTAGTATTCAATGTTAGTATATACAGTATATGACCCACTAGAAACATATATACGATTCTCTTTTGATGTCATCAACAGTCAGGATTCATCCAACCGGAAAGAAGGATATACCATCATTCTAAAGAAGGGTATTGTCCAAGATACTCAAAACTGTCAATAATAGTAAGTGATACTTGGTTTTTTATTTTAAAGAAAATTATATATTTATATTTCTAAATTTTATGCTTTTGCATCTCAGCTTTACATCAATTTACATGTTCTTCTGTTTTATTTTTCATGTATTTTATATGCCAGAATGAATAAAATTTAAAAGAAAATAGACCATATTTCTAAATATTATACCAGTAGGCCTCTCAATTTGAAAATTTACAATGAAAATAGAAAAATTAAGAAAGTTTGGTATAAAATTTATTAAGATGCATAATCGACTTACTGTTTATGTGATTAAGTTTATTCTTTGCTTTACTTCAGTGTTTAAATAATGAGGTCCCAGATTTTTCATTTCTATTTCTAGCTCCAGTGCACAAGCATATTCATTATGAGAAGCACAATGGTTTTAATATAATTTATAACAAAGAAACACAACTGGTTTCTAGGACATTGAAAATAGTTACGTCCTCATAATACATCGAATAACCTATTGTGTATCCTAATGCTATTGATTTCTTCAGTCAGAAATCGTACTTGACAATGAATCAAGTTCTATATCCTATAATGTACGGATAAAGCTGAAGTACTTCAATAAATAGCATTTGAAAGCCTAGCACATATGATATAAATTGATCTCTATGGGTTATTACCCTTCTCCTTCCTAGTGAATTTCATACAAGTGAATAAGGATTAATTATACTTAGGGCCTGTTTCTGCTAAGCAAAAAAACATGTGTTTTTAAACCGTTATTAAAAAACATGTTTTTTTCCCAGAATAAACGCTTTAAAAAACAAAAATATGGTTAGGAATGCATTAAAAAAATGCGTGTTTTAACACACATTGGTTATTGGGTTAGCATTCAGAAAACACATGTTTTGTGGTACATTTTTCGGATGCAATGTAATACCGTGTATAGTCGTGACCCATCGGTGACCCAAATTGAGCCCTTCATTGATTCGATCGTTAGTTCGCGAAAAATTTGGGGCGAAGAAAACAATGAAATCAACAGGATGACATGCTTTAGGCTTACTATAATTTTTTCATTCTTTCGCAGTGTGTTGTTACAGTCTTTCGAAGCATGCACTATAAATCACAGGACGTAAGGTCGACTTCAACTTTCGTAGGTGACCGCCATTATAAGCTCCGCCTACCTACCAATGCTCTTGTTACCATGTTTTTATTAGTTGCACTTTTCACTAGAAACGTGTTCCGAAGGAATTTAACCGTTCATAAAAAACATGTTTTTGGCGTTATTCAGCAGAAACATGCCTTTTCTGACTATTTCCACTCTATATAAATTCATAAATTATTGAACGCAACATCTTTAATATAAATATAGTGATTTTTTATATTCTATTTTATTTCAAGTCTCACCCAACAGCAGGTAACCCACCCACTTACAGAATGGATTAAGAATGAAATATAAATATATGAATATATACAAATGTAAAAACTAAAAAAAAAAAAAAAATCAGAAGGAAATAATAAATTTATAAATAACAGGCAAATAAACAAAGAACAAACAATAACAAAATCATTAATAAAAAAAATGTCAATAAAAGTGAAGCGATAATAACAATAAAATGAAAAAGTCTCGAGCATAAAGAAACATACATTCAACTGGTGAAATCTATGATACAATTTTTTATTTCTTTCAGAAATGTCAAAAGGATATATTTTTTGTTTCTCGTCGTTGTGCAGAACATCGACTAGGTGGATGACATTCTTATGGTGTAATCTTCTTAATAATTTGATTTCCCTGTGGAGTGATAAAAAAACAAACAGATCATTAATAATGTGTACACTGCTACTAACAGCAGGAAAATCAAAATTAAGATATTTACATAAAAGGAGTTGATATTACTCAGTCGACATTGCTAATTCCGGGAGCTGGAATACTTTCAAGTTTGTTGATAGGGAAGAGGATAATATATTGGTGCTGGAGCGGCAATTCCACAAGAATTGAATAGGTGATTCAAGCCCGTAGCCAGGGGGGTTCGTTGGGTTCGAACGAAGCCCCCTTTTCATGAAGTGCCCTTTCAACAAAGGCTGGCTAGCCTACACTTTAGGCCTAGCCTAGAGCCTATCATCATTAAAAGTCCTACTTTAATACCCGATTGTTAGGCTTACCTAGTAACATAAAAAATTCAGGCCCCGAAACCTTGACTCAGAAATACCAGGATGGTGTCCGAGGGGGATAGTATCACCTGTGTATATATATATATATATATATATATGATTATAATACGCTACAACCAACCATACAAATTTGTCTCGGTTCTTTTTGTTACTGATTGTTTTAAGTGAGTATAGTATGATACAACTTCCAAAGTGCTATATAAATAAAAAATAAAGAATAAACCATACTGGATTCTTTGGAGTTTGTATCATGCTACTGTTGTTAAATTACCAATACTGTAGTACTAAAGTAGTAGTTTTTTTTTGGTTTTTTTTATCTTTTCCCAAATCAAAAAATTACCTCTTTAATATATATATATTTTTTTTAATGTATGGCCTCTCAAATCAATTAAATAACACCTGTAAATGCTTAGAATGCTGGATCCCCACTGGGATTTTGGCCCTGGACCCACCGGGGGGCTCTTGGCGTCCCCAGGCCCCAGCCAATGGTGCTCGCAAGTGCCCTTTCAATATCAAAAAGAACCCCCCTACCAAAATCCTGGCTACGGGCTTGTGATTTAACAAGAAGCTAGAATGCTTCCAATTTTTTCACTGGGAAGTGGATAATACTTCTGGGATAGTGTGTCATTTGTATTACATTCGGAAATTACTTGTCATTCTATTTCCTAGCTTTTCCTATTATACAGTACAACATTTATGCTTAGGAAATAATAGTTTATAAATAAATTAGTGTAAAACAATGGGATGGAGTGTGCTTTTTTTAAACTATGGTAAGACGGCAACTGGATCTTCTGCCAACAATAAATTTTTGTAATCATACATTATCTGGTATAAAGTAATATAGGAATATAAATCATAAAACTTTATTAACATAAATAGACATTATTTAAAACCTGTGACGGATCATGCGATAGGCACAACAGTTCAGGATATCCTAGATACCAAGGCAAAATAGGCCAAAAATTTAAAAAACTAACAATCTTTTAACTATTCTAATGAACTGTAGTAGCAGTCTACTCGAAAAATTATGGCTGGCATAGAAGATTGTGGCTAAGAAATGTTAAATAAAACGGATAAAATGTACAATAATTTAGCATTTTCTTTTAGTTTTAAACAGGGATGCACTGCATACCTTGCTTGTCTTGATGGTCCGCCACTGTTTAAAACATTGGCAAATTTGTGTGCTAAGAAAATAACACGGGCTAAAGAACAGTGGTAGCTCTAAAAAAACATTCAGGAGGCAAAGTTGTCTGACGAGAAGATTTGGAAATTTCTGGCGGGGCCAGCAGCAACAAGTCCAACAAAAAGTTGATCTGTCTAGTGAAGGTTTAAGCTCTTTCCCCTCTACTGGTGCAAGTGCCTTTACTGGCTATAAAAAGCCCATTGCCTAAATGGCCAATCTCTTAAAACCTTTGATACTTAAGCAAAATATATACAGTACATTTAAATGTAAAACATACTGTAGTACTGTACAAAGCAAAATTAGAGTGTTCAAAAAACACAGTATGCTGCATATACAGTATATCACTAAGTTCAGAACAATTGGTATAAATTGGACCCCTGTAATAAATGTTTGACATTATAATTATCATCTAAAGTATATACATTAAAAATAAGACCATTCAATTTATATTACTGTTTGATGATTTCACAATAAGAATCTCTGGGATAGCAATTATCATATTGAGAATGAATTCTTCCAACATCATCAATGAGAAAAATTTTTACATTTCTCAGGATTCGAACCAGGAATCACGATATGTGCTAGCCTAAAATATGACTATTGAAACTTTCATAGTGTATGAAAGTCCTTTCCAATGTCTAGTTACATTTAAATGATTGGTTTACTCGTAACTGCATTGTAGCCAGTGGCTAATGTACTGTAGCAGACACTGAATGTTAACGTAATTACAATACGGACATACTGTACACCACTGTGATTCGAACTCAGTGTTCAAGAACCATTCAAGCATGTAATAGACCGAATCGGCAACTCCGGCTATTACTGGTCACGTGACATATAGTGGGTACTAAATGTAAACATCAACATCGTAAACCACAGTGCGCTCATTGAACACAGTATATTGAGAGAGTTATGATGTTTTTTAGACAGCGACTCAAAGAAAAATAAGGCAGTTTTTATGCTTCGACTAGGGCTATAAATCTCTGTAGTCAAGTACTGTAGGTAATAAAGTAGAAAACAACCCTTAATGGTACTGATTGCTCAACCAAACTTGGTCTAGGAAACAGGCTGGTGATACAGTAATTGGCCTATTTGGTATGGTACAAAATGCCAGTACGTAATAATAATTGTAATGTCATATGATGATCATTATTCTCGGCAATAACTAGAAACATCCTATGATTTAATTTTGGATTTAAAATAACTGTAAAATAATACTCTTGCAATGAATGGAGAAATTCGTTTTTTCTTTTTCATGCTATGATAGCATTTGCCATGAATAATATTCTTGACTTAAGCCGCAATCGCACTGGATTTAAAATAGGGAAATTTTTACCGAGACTGTGGGTAACATTCCAATGGGTAAACTTCCTGTCGTTCGCACTGGGATTTATCGACGTGGTTAGTTTTACCCATAGAGGTATAATAAGAATACTAGAGCGCTAACCGCAATGTATTCGATGTTCGAAATACGCAGAACTGTGTGTGTGTACCATCCAAGATGGCTGCCATAGATTCAGCCAATCAAATTTCGCCTAA